ACATCAATTATGGTTGTCATGAAAGTCACTTACTTCTTTTGACAAAGATATCCTATGTATGAAAGCATGTGTATGTATATTAATAAGACTGGTTTACTACCTGTTGACCTGTGAAACAGGTCAATAGGAACAGGTGTGTATTTAAAAACACATTTATGGGCCTGTGTTGGGGTGCCATGGTTTAAGCTACAGCCTGCTATGCTGGCATCCCATATAAACACCGGTTCAAGTTCTGACTTCTCTGCTTCCCTGCTAACATGTGTGTGAACGCAGTGGAAGATGGACCAAGCACTTGGTCTTCCTGCCACCATGTGAGAGATCAAGAGAGTGTTCAAGGCGCCTGGATTCATTCAGCCTGGGCCAGCCTCTGATTTTGTGGCTATTTGGGGTACTAACCAATGGATGGAAATTTCTCTCTCCCCTCTCTCTCTAGCTCTGCCTTTCAGATAAATAAAATAACTACTGTAAAACAAAAGAAGTTAATTTTCTGTAAAACACAGTCTTACAGCTCAAGTTATTCCTACAGGCTCACATCAAAGTAATGGTTTTTGGAATTCTTCATCAGAATACCCCCTGGGGTTAGCTAAACTTATGCTGCTGAAAGTTCCCCTGTACTTGGAACTGATCTCAAATGGAATTCAGATTCACTTGCTAACTTAGCCTGCGCCTATTTCTTTTTTAAAGAAAAGGGTAGACTTTATTTGTTTATTGTATTTGACAGGTTGACACACAGAGGAGGCAGGCAGAGCTCCCATTTTCTGGGTCACTTTTTAAAGTCTTACAATGGCTAGGACGGGGTGGGGGTGCTGAGTGTCCCGACAGAGTGACATTTTTGAGCCATCACTGTTGCCTTCTAAGGGTGGCACTGGTGTGAAGGTGAGTCGTGTGAACCAGATTTGGGACTTGAATCCAAGTATTCTGAGTGATTAAACACCTGTTTGTCTGCTGGTGTTCTTAAGCCACTAGTTAGCATTAGTCTTTCTGCACTTAACTTTATCTCTTTTACCAGATTTTTAGATTGTTTATGTTTGTGGACCTGCAAAGCTGTAACTTTAAAACCAGTGATTCATATACAAGATAAGCCACACTGTTTATAGTCACTGTGATTCAGTCACATTGGATTTTACAAAGCAGGCTATTGTGTGACACTTATAAAGATTAAATCCTCTTAACTATTTTTAGATCATCTCTGCCAAAAAGGCTTTCTTTCACAGCTGCTATTACACTGCCCCCTGCAGCTCACTCGGCAGATGTGCACCCACAGCCTTTACGGCCACCGCACCTGCCCCCAAAGCCTATTTCTTATGGAAGTTTGGAAGTGATCTGTCCCCCAAGGACCCGTGTGATGGCTGTTTGGTCCTCAGGGTTGATCTGTGGGAAGGGAGGGTGGGATCTAGCAAGAGTTCCTTGGGTCACTGGAGGCAGTGTCCTTGGGAGAAAATAGGGGTCTCCTGGATTGAGTTTTTACAGAAGGAAGTTGTCCTAAGTGCCAGAATCTCCTTCGGGCTTCCTATTCTTGAGATATGTGCTCTTCTCCCACACATGCCCCTGCTGTCCAAAAGAGCTTGTACACGCTGTTTAGACTGTTTTCCAAACCGAGCTAAATAAGACCTTTTCCTTTATAAAGTTTGCCAGCTTCAGCTGCCTTATTATAAAGATAGAAAGCTTACTGCCACCATTCTTTTCTCATTTGTGTGTATGTTTCACCCATGAGACATATTCTTAAGTCTTCCTAGGATGGCAGTAATTATCACCCTTTTCCTTCCCATTTACCAAGGTGGAGGAAGAGGTGTACATGATAAGATACAGAGTCACTGGGATATACGCGGACTTCCTCAAACAGTTGAGAGATATTCTAGGGGGCAGGGGCTAGTCATCACTTGTGATGTCTGCACCTATACTGGAGCACTGTCTGGCTCTACTTCTTATCTACCTTCCTGAAAATAGGCACCCAGGGAAGCAGCACAGGATGCCTTGAATGTTTGGGTTCCTGTCAACCATATGGAATAGCCAGACTGAGTGTTGGGCTCCTGGTCAACCTGGCCCAACCCCAGATCCTGCAGACATTTGGGAAGTGAACGAATAGATGGAAACACATACACACATGCTCTCTCTCTCTCAACTATTTCCTTTGCTTTCTTTTAAGGCAAATTATATATTTTTAAAGATTTACTTATTTTACTTTAAAGTCAGTTGCAGAAGGAAGTAGGAGAGAAACAGAAAGATCTTCCTTCCACTGGTTCACTCCCCAAATGGCCACAACAGCTGAAGTTGAGCTGATCCAAAGCCAGGAGCTGGGAGCTTCTTCTAGGTTTCCCATCTGGGTGTAAAGGCTCAAGCACCTAGGCTATCCTCTATTGTTTTCCCAGGCTGTGAGCAGGGACCTGCATTGGAAGTGGAAATGAACTGGTGCCCATTTAGGATGCTGGCTTCTCAGGTAGAGGATTAACTTGTACGCCATCATGCTGGACCCCCAAATTCCAGTTTTTAAAAGATTCATTTTGCTTATTTGAAAGGCAGAGTTACAGAGAGGGACACACACACATCACACACAGATATCTTCGATCTGATCATTCACTCCGCCAAACTGTCACAATGGCTGGGGCTGGGCCGGGCCAAAGCCAGGAGCTTCTTCTTGGGTCTCCCACATGAGAACAGGGGCCAAAGGACTGGGAGCAGCTGGGACTCAAACCAGTATTCAGGGATGTCAGCACTACAGTCGATGGCTTAACTTGTAATGCCACAAGGCTGGTACCATCCTCGGCTTTATAAACACATAAAAAAATTTTCAAGAATTTTTAAAAAGAGACATTCCAGGCATCAGGTCCGAGCAGGAAATGCATATTTACCCTAGAGATTGTGTCACTTGGCAGACAAGATGATGGTTGGTCATGCCCAAGGTAGCCAGAGTTATGTCAGACTGGAGCCTGAGAATGATACTTCAGTACAGTTTGTGTTTGCATTTTCCTAATTACAAATGATGTTGACCATATTGTATATCTTCTTTGGAAAATGCCTATTCAAGTTCTCTGTCCAGTTTTTAATTGGGTAGTTCATTTTTTTTTTTTTACTGTTTAGTCAGAAAAGTTCTTTGCATATTATCTGTATGTTAACCCTTTATTAAATATGTGACTTGCAAATATTTTCTGTCATCTCTGTCATTCTGCTGATGGTGCACAAACGTTTTAACAAAGCCTTATCTGTTTCTTTTGTTTTTTTGATGATGCCTTTGGTATCATATCCAAGAAATGTGATTGGAAGTAGAGCAGCCGGGAACAAAGTGACATCCATGTGAGATGCCAGCACTGCCGCCGTGTCACAGTGGTGGCCCCTCCATTTGTTTCTGAAAACTTAAAGAGTTTTTATTGTTAAGTGTAGGTTTTTGATCTGTTTCGATCTAATATTTATGATGTAAGGTAAAGGCTCAATTTCATTCTGTTTTTATTTGTTGTTGAAAAGACAAATGATTAAATGGTCTTGGTACTCCTGCCAGAACTCATTTGAGGGTTTATTTCACATCTTTACAATATAGTAACATTTTGTTTTTTAACTCATAACAACTCATAACAAACAACCTATGTGAGAATGTTTTTATGTTACTAATGGCTTTACTGAAATGAAGACAAAATTTAGCTTTCGGGGGTCAGCGCAATGGCACGATTGGCTAGTCTTTCACCTCCCTGCTTGTGGCCTGGGAAAGCAGCCAGGGATGGCTCAAAGCCTTGGGACCCTGCACCCCTGTGGGAGACCTGGAAAAGGCTCCTCGCTCCTGGCTTCAGATCTGCTCAGCTCCAGCCATTGTGATCCTTTGGGGAATGAACCAGCACACAGAAGATCTTCCTCTCTGTCTCTTCTTCTCTGTAAATTTGCCTTTCTAATAAGTGCAAATAAATCTTAAAAGCCTTAGGAAAGGAATGCATAATCATTAATTACATACATATTCATACATGCCCAAGCTTGACTGTTGCCCACCCAGAAATGCTCAACCAGAAATGCTCAATACTGAAGTAATGAATGGTTTCATACATTACAGACGTCCAGTCTGTGTGCATGTTTATGGGAAATACAGTAGGCAAGTCCTGGTTTCCCACCCACTTTATAATTTCTATGACGTGATCCAGCACAATATGATCCTGGCAATCATAAAACTAACATCACTGGGGGCTGGCTCTGGGGTTCTGGTGTCCCACAGGGGCACCTGGTTTGAGTCCTGGCAGCTCCATTTCTGATCCAGCTCCTGCTAGTGCTCCTGGGAAAGCAGGGGTAGACGGTCCCGGCATTTGGGCCCCCGCACCCACGTGGGCGACCTGGGGGTTGCTCCTAGCTCCTGACTCTGCATGGCCCAGTAAGATGCTGCAGGCTTTTGGGAGAGCAAACCTGCAGGTACAAAACACCTCTGTTTGTAACTCTGCCTTCCAAATAAATGAAATAAATCTTAAGATAAAAATTTAGAAGCCCGTGTATGCTCTAAATCCCACCGAGTCCTTCATGTTCTAAAGGCAAGCGAAAAAAACCCGCACACACATACAGGTACAGGCACAGGCACACACCGAGGCACGGACATGAGTACTTCTGTTAGCGACAATCCCCCCCAGAGAGTATCCTAGACATTTCTAACGACGAAAAGCAGAATAACACAGGCAAGTGTGCAAGTGTGGCCAAGCAACCTTCTATTCGTGTCACTATAGTTTTTAAATGACCATGTCAGGTGGCTCAAACAGCCACAGACACTGGCTCCAGGCTCGCGGGCCTCTGTAGCGGTGCCCACGGTGCCCACGGTGCCCACATCAGCGTATCCCCTAAGGAGAAGCTGCCCATAGAATAAGCCGGGCAGGGTCCCCGAGCGTCCTCCGCCGCAAGGCCGTCGCCTGCCGACAGGGGGCGCCCGCGCCCAGCTCGGCGGCGCGCGCCGACGCGGCCCCGCCCACCCGCCGCCGGCCCCGCCTACCGGGCGCGTCGCGTCCGGAGTCGCGTCCCCGCGCGCGCCGGACGCCGCTGCTCCTCAGCCTGGGCTGTGGCGGTCGCTGCGTTATGGAGGGCGAGAGCACGGTGGCGGTGCTGTCGGGCTTCGTGCTCGGAGCGCTTACGTTTCAGCACCTCAACACCGATTCGGACACGGTGAGCCGAGGGGCCGGGAGGCTGCGGCGTCGCCTTGGGAGAACCCCGAGCGCGGCCGGCTGCCCCGACGCCGCCGCCTTCCCGCCATCGCGGTCCTCCAGGTGCCTGCGGCGCCCCGAATCTTCTCTCGCTGAACCTTCCCTCTTCTCACCCGTGGGACCCGCGTGCCCCACACGCCCCGCCCCCCCCTAGTCATTATTTTTTACTTTTCTTTTTTTCCTGATCCAGTTTGGGCGGGAAAGGAGGGCGAGCCCCGCGGCCGCTGGCTGTGGCCACTGCGCCCTGGCCAGCTGCTGCCCTCAGCCCGGGCACGCCTGTTGGGAGTGTTAGGGCAGTGAGCGCTCGGTGTCTTCAGTGGCTGCCTCGCCTTAACCTGCGTGGGTGGAAGGGCTCACATGTGGTGGATGCATCACTTAACCTGCTTTTTCTTTGGATTGCTTGTCAAAGTTGTGAAAACTCTTAAGGCCCCGGCTGGCTCTTCTTCAGTCACTTTGTTATGATTTAAATATTGAAATTTGGATTGCCAAAATACAGCGCCCGTTTTCTAAAATCTTGTGAAATAATTTTAAAGACCCACACATGGCAAAAACTTTGAACCTCACACGTGTTTTCGGTAGCAAGTTTGTAAAATTGAATCCAGACAGCACCCTGCTGAACACGGCCTAATGGTTTCTGCAAGACGTTGTACCCTTCATTTTAAAATAATGAGCTGTGCCTTAGGCCTGAAAGCCTTTCAACTCAAGCCTAAAGGAGCTTGGAATTTGTATATTTTATGTACGCAGTTTCAGATGAACATCTGGCAAAAAAGCAGATGTAGTATAAAATTTCATTGTGGATATAGAAATTATTTCAGTGTGTCCATAGTGTAAATGTAATGGGCCGGTCCTTACTCCCTCTGTTGCTTAAAAGGATTAGGGTTCGATTTCAGCTCCTTCTGTCAAAGTCCTTGAATGGCTGTCCTCGGGGTGGCTGCACTTGAACTGTTGGCACTTCCTTCCCCAGTGCCTGCCCTTGCGAAGCCCTAAGGCAGACACTAGACTATAGACTTCCGGGTCCACTCCTTCTGCTTCTTGGTTCCAGCAAAGCATTATTTGATAATTATAAAGAAGATAAAATCTTCATTGTGGAGCACTTCATTCTTTAAATGTCTACAGAAGTCATTGGATTCTTTAGACCGCAAAGAAATAACTGCTGCGGTGGCCTGTTGTTACGAGAACTGGAGCAGGCGCAGCTTTTTAAGAAGGGACATTCTGATACGCTTTCTGGTATTCTACACAAGTTTAACTTTGAAAGTACTAATAATCGTGGCATTGCATAGTGGAGAAACCTGTACAACCCCCGCCCCCAGGAGCAGGTGCACTGAAACGCAGATTCGGCAGGCTCCATGCCTGGCTCTGTCCTGTCCAGCTTGGCAAAGCGGGTGCCTGCCGCTGCACTGCCAGCCACTGCACTGCCGGGCGCTGCACCGCCTGCCACTCTGCATGCTCTTCACACCAGGTGTGCTTATTGCTGGCTTTTTTATGCTTCCAAGTCTGCCAAGTACTCCAGGTGCTGCCTAACAAATACTGCCAGTATTTCAGCTCAGATCCATTCTGGCCACCTCTACAGGGCCTTCTGTAATTATCTGAAATCCTTTCATTCTCTTTTTCCCTGACTAGGAATGTGGTGCTATTCAGTCTCTTATTTGATAGTCAGTGTAGACCGCTAGGTGAGTGGAAGTACTTCAGGTCTCTATGCACATACACTACAATGGTACCTTTAAAAGTTCATGGAAAGGATTAAGGTGTTCGTCTTATTGCAAAACATAAATATGTATTTTAAAAATTACTTATGTATTTGAAAGAGTTATAGAGACGGGGTGAAATAGATCTTCCATCTTTAGGTTCACTCCCCAAACAGTGAGCCTCAACCTCCAGGACTGGGCTCGGCTGAAGCCAGGAGCCTGGAACTGCCTTCAGGTTTCCTGTGCAGGTGACAGAGGCCCAAGCGCTGAAGCCTTTCTCTGCTCCTTTCTCAGGAGCATTAGCAGGGAGTTGGTTCAGAATGTATGAGACAGGAATCATCACCCATATGGGATTCTGATCCCACAGGCGTACTACAGTAATACTACCACAAAAAAAAATTTTTAAGAAAAATCTATGCATAGATTTTATGTAGATTTTTCCTGCATTTTTTGAAGTGCTCTCATACATTGTAAAATATTCAGAAAATTCCGCTCAGTGAGTGAACAGTAATTCTATTGATTTATTCCTTTTCTGTTCTTACTGCTTTTCATTATTATCTTCACAGGAAGGTTTTCTCATTGGGGAAGTGAAAGGTGAAGCCAGGAATAGCATCACTGATTCCCAGATGGATGATGTAGAGGTTGTTTATACAATTGGTGAGTCATTTACTTTTGTGTCCCCTGTTTTTTGATACTTTATGCCAAAATAATTCAAATTACCGTTGTAAAGTAAGACTGTATATACCCATGTTTTAAGGAGAATTGAAACATACTGCTCTCCTTTCCCAATTAAACTGACCATCAGCTGGCCTAACGTGAGGAGCAGTGTGAGATACAGGAAGCAAATGAGGCTGTTTCAGGGAAACAAGGGTGCAACTGCCTGCTTGTTTAGGGAGCAGGAAGAAGGGTCAGCAAGAGGAAGACCAAGGAAAGATGAAGTAATCCACACAGAAATGTTAAATTGCCACAGAGACATTGGGGCAGGAGAACCTAGAAAAGCCTGCTGAGGTGGTTAGATGATTGAAAACCATCTGTAATTGTGGAATGTAACGGGGCAGGAGACAAAGCGCCACATTTTTGTGAAGTTAGATATGAAGCACGTTAAGTGGGGCAGATAATTTTTAGCTTCACAGTTAAAACACTCCTATTGGGTAGCTAGCGGCTAAAGTCCTCCCCTTGCATGCGCCAGGATCCCATACTGACATTGGTTCGTGTCCCAGTGGCCTGCTTCCCACCCAGCTCCCTGCTTGTGGCCTGGGAAAGCAGTAGAGGACGGCCCAAAGCCTTGGGACCCTGTACTTGCATGGGACCCTGGAAAAGGCTCCTGGCTGCTGGCTTTGGATTGGCTTAGCACTGGCTGTTGCGGCTGCTTGAGGAGTGAGTCAACGGAAGGAGGATCTTCCTCTTTGTCTCTGCTCCTGTCTGTGTATCTGCCTGTATATCCCATTAGGGATAAATAAATCTTTACACAAAACAAAAAAACCCAAACTAGTAGTGTGCTCTACAGAAAGTTTAGTGACCTGACATGTTCTGTTCATATTCCCAAGTTAAATTATCCCCTGGAATATCACATTTTCCATAACCTCAGTATATTCTACTCTTACAGCTGTTCTGATTTTAAGTCTTTTAAGTTACAATGAGCTGTTTCCAGTGTTGTGCATGTGTCTATACTATAAGTTATACTAACATAAATATCCTATGCATATATTTTTGGCTTTATTTACTGTAGATTCAGAGATACGATTTTACGATATCACAGTCTGAACATTTTTAAGACTTTTGATTTGCATTAACAAATTGCTGGCCAAAAAGATATAAAAATTTTATAGTCATGCATTTTAAGCAAGTTTATTTATTTATTTAAAAGGCAGAGTGACAGAGATTGATCTTCCATGCACTAATTCATTTCCCAAATACAGCAGCCAGGTGGGTGGCAGGAATCAGGGCTCCTGTGTCATCTTCTGCTGCTTGATCCCGTGTGTTAGCAGGAAGCTTCCTCAGAAGCCGGGAAGCTGCGACAGGAGCTGCTGGTGTGGCATTCTGTGCCTTAGCCCCACTGTAACTTTTTAAACCAGCTGCTAACAACTCTTCTGGGGATAGCATTGTTATAGGTGAACATTCAGAACATGGACCTCTGTGTGTCTGAGTAATTATCTGAAGGCTCCCTCCACGTAGTCCAGCTGACTGCCTTTCGGAAGAGTTAAGGCATTTGGGCTTCTTCACAGTATTTACTTACTGTTACATATATGACCTTTTGTCATTTCAGTTTCTTGAGCTTTAAAAGCAAGCCTTTAGTGCATTTTTAAATCATAATTGAGTTAAGCTATCCAAAATAACTTTTTAAAGACTTGCTTATTTCTTTGAAAGAATTACAGTCAGAGAGATATTACATCCCCCGATTCACTTCCCAAGTGGCCGCAGTGGCCAAAGCTGGGCCATTGCTAAAAATCCAGGTGCTTCTGGGTCTCACGTGTGAGTGCAGGGGCTCAAGCGCTTGGGCTAGCCTGCACTACTTTTCCAGGTGCGTTAACAAGGTGTTGGGATGAAGTACTGGGATTGGAGCCAGTGCCCATGTGGGATTCTGGCACCACAGTGCTGGCCCTGACATGTTTTGAGGGATTTAGTTAATAACCACATTATGCTAGTTAAGGTTAGTGTATGTTGTAAAATCTTTTTAAAACGTTGTATTACTTCAACATAGATAGCTAGCAGATAAAATTCAAGACTGACAAATTACTGCACTGCTTTAGTTAGATTTTCATCATTTTTATATTTCCTTTAACTATATACTATGTTCCACTGCTTAGAAATTATGAAGTGTTTCTGTTTACTGTTTGTTTTCACACAGGGATGTATTTGTTACAAAAATATATAGAAAGAAAAGTCACTTTTCTTACCTGGCTGAAATACTGCTATTGAGATTTGATTTGTTTTGGGTTTGATTCATTTCTTTCTGTGTCTTTTTCTTCCTTCCGGCCTTTCTCACTCTTTCTTCCTTGCTTTTGTTATTTAATTGAAAGAGTCACAGAGAGCTCTATCCACTGGCCCACTCCCAGATGATCACACAGCTGCACTAGACTGAAACCATGAGCTTCATCTGGATGTTCCACATGCCCATCTTCCACTTCCTGTCTCATTTCTCAGGCCATTAGCAGGGAATTCAATTGGAAGTAGATTAGCTAGAACACCAGTCAGTGCCTACGATGAGATTCAGGTAGCCCCTTACCCTGCCATGCCACAACACCAGCCCCAGTTTGTTTTCTCTGTGCTATAGTTAAGGTGGACCAAACTTTTATGAAACAAATACTTGAAAAGGGGTGCCTAGCATCCCATATAGATACTGGTTAGGTCCTGGCTGCTCCACTTCCAATTCAGCTCTCTGCTAATATGCCTGGGAAAGCAGTGGATTGACCAACTGCTTGACTCACTGCACCCACATAGAAGACCCAAAAGAAATTCCTGACTTTGGTCTGTCCCTGCCCTGGATGTTCTGGCATTTGGGAGTGAACCGACAGATAAAAGACTACAGCTGCCTTTCAAATATGGTTAAACACACACAGAAAAAGAAGAATCTTTGTTTGTTTGTTTTTTATTTATCTTTATTACAAAGTCAAATATATAGAGTGGAGGAGAGATAGAGAGGAAGATCTTCTGCCTGATGATTCACTCCCCAAGTGAGCGCAATGGCCGGTGCTATGCCGGTTAGAGGCAGGAGCCAGGAACTTCCTCCAGGTCTCCCACACGGGGGCAGGATCCCAAAGCTCTGGGCCATCCTTGAGTGCTTTCCAAGGCCACAAGCAGGGAGCTGGATGGGAGGTGGAGCTGCCAGGATTAGAACTGGTGCTCATATGTGATCTTGGCACGTTCAAGGTGAGGACTAGCCGCTAGGCCACCGCGCTGGGCCCAAAACAAGAACCTTTAACATGTGTCTCTCAGTTGAGTATCTTTTGAGCATATCCTTTCAATGAAAACAATTGTATCTGTATTGTAGGTTTGTTGCGAATAGATTAAAATATCAGCAGTAAAGTACTTCCTGTCATGAAGTATATGTTTTGTGCTTTTTTCAATATTGAATCAGTGGTAATCATACCTAAAAATCCTTCTGTTTCCCAGATATTCAGAAATACATTCCATGCTATCAGCTTTTCAGGTGAGTATTAGAAAAAGTAATAAATGATTCACTGTGAAAGCTAGTCTGTGCAAGTGAAATGATTTCTGAAACTAAGTGTCCTAGTTGCTAGTTTTACATGTTGTTACTGATAAAAATGCAAGGAGCATTTTTAAATCCCTGAAAAGCCACTTGTACGTCATTATCGAGTGTGTCTGCAGTTCTTTGTAAGTTTCGCTCATTTACTGCTTCTCTCAGATACTCGTTTACCTTGAGGAGTACGAATTTTCCTCCTCATACTACATACCATCACCTCTTGCTAGCAGTCACTTTTTAAAAACTATTCCTTGAGCTATCACATACAGAGATGTGCACAAATACCATGGATTCTTACATGTGTTTCTGTGTAAAATTGCCAGCCCCTATTGCTCAGAAACTGGACATGAAACCAGTGTTCCTACAAGTCCTCACTGTTACCATGTAGTTTACTATTTACCCTGACGTACTGCCTTATGCCCCAGTTTGTGGAGCTCAGAAAGAGACCATACTAGAGAAATACAGGAATAAAAGCTTATTTAGGGAGTTTTTGCATATAAGTAAAATGCAAGAAGTTGTTCCATCAGTTTAGTATCCCCATTTACTAGGTAGAACACTGTTTTATCTGCTTTGTCAGTAAAAATTTCAGTGTACGGTTGTTTTTTTCTGAAAGTCAGATCTTCCATATGCTGGTTCACTCCCTAAGTGGCCTGAACGGCCGGAACTGAGCCGATCTAAAGCCAGAAGCAGGAACTTCTTTAGGGTCTCCCACGCAGATGTAGGGTCCCAAGGCTTTGGGCTGTCCTCAGCTCTCCTTTCCCAGGCCACAAGCAGGGAGCTGGAAGGGAAGTGGCGCAGCAGGGACACAAACAGGCACCCATATGGGATCCTGGCGCATACAAGGCTGCAAGGCGAGGACTTTAGTGTAAGTTCTTACAGGTTAAAGAGAAGAAACAAACTACCTATTAGGGTATGTTATTTTAATTTTGTGTCATATATTTTCCGTGTTCAACATAGAGCTATCAGTAAAAGTTTTACCGTTATGACTATTATTTGTAAAGTGTTTGTGTAGCATTTCTCCATCATAGAAAAGAAATTTGATGTTAATGCTAAAAGGAAGACAATTTTTGTAGCCTCTGTTATGTAAAAGGAAAGAAAGCTGGAGGCAATAACTTGAAAATCTTTTAAAATTATCTTCACATTCTTTCTGCATCTTGAACATTCCAGTTACAGAGCACAGATCACTGAACTAAACCAACATGTATTCCCTTCTCTAACCCCTCCCCACAAACAGCTACCTCGTAAAACATAACTGTTTCAATAGGAAATGAATAAACCAAGCTTTTACTTCTGGGCGTCATTGCTCATGATTAGGCATTCTTTTGTACATTTCAACAATAGGTAACCTGATTGTGAACTGACTATATGATTTTTCCAATACTCAATTTAATTAATAGTTTATTTTTTCATGTAGAAAAAGTGATGCACAAACTTACTTCTTGGAGCTCTCCTTTTTAACTGCTCGTGGACTTACATGTTTCTATCACTTTAAGTCTGTTAATTAGAAAATTTCCTGTACTATTCATTGTAGGATTTCATCTCACCGGCCAGTAGATATGAACTGTAGTTGGGTAGTCTGGATTAGAGACATCAAAGTTTAAGATGCCAACAAAATCATATTTCCAGTTTATTTGAAATCTCCTTAATTTTGGCTTTTACAGCTTTTATAATTCTTCAGGTGAAATAGATGAGCAAGCACTAAAGAAAATATTACCAAACATCAAAAAGGTATTCTCTGGTTTATCTTTCTTTGTTATTATATCCTTTACTTTTGGATTCTAAAAACTTATAACTTATAGTTCTATGGCAGCATTTTACAATCAAACAGCTTCATGGGTGTTTTTATTTAAATTTTGACTAACGGTGAAGATTGGAAGAAGACAAATGTCCTAAACTTAAGTCAGTTTGCATATTTTGCAAAAGCAATGTGTATGACAGTGTGTTATTTAGAGTCCCAAAATGTATCTGAACATTAAGAAAGCCATCTTATATCAGTTCTGCTTAATTATGAGATAAATAACAATAACCGTTTACATTTTACTTCTGTATTTCAGGATGTAGTAGGTTGGTATAAGTTCCGTCGTCATTCAGATCAGATCATGACATTTAGAGAGAGAGTGCTTCACAGAAACTTACAAGAGCATCTCTTAAATCAAGAACTTGTTTTTCTGTTAATGACACCAAGTATAATAACAGAAAGTTGCTCTACTCATCGCCTGGAACATGCCCTATATAAACCTCAAAAAGGGTAAATATTTATATAGTAATTTTTGCAGTTTACCAAGTATCTTCAAACACTGTTGTATTAGATTGTCACCATAAGCCTCTAAAGTAGATCTTACCATCTTATACACGATCCTATGACCTAGCACACAGTGTTGTGGTGTAACAGGTTAAGGTGTCACTTGTGACACTGGCATCTGTATTGGAGTGCTTGAGTCCTGGCTGCTCTGTTTCTGATCCAGCTTCCAGCTAATGTGCCTGGGAAGGCTGTGCAGGATGGTCCAAGGGCTTCTGTCTCCACCTCTTAAGTGGGAGACCAGGAATGGAGGGCCTGGCTCCTGGCTTCAGCCTGGCCCACGTCTGGCTGTGCAGCCATTTGGAGAGTAACTGGTGAAGTAAAGATCTCTGTTGCTCTGCCTTTCAGATAAATGAATAACTTTTTAGATAAAGCTATAAAGGGAAAATGCAGGTCAGATAAGGAAATTATTAGTTCAGTGTGAATAATGACTTCTGGCACTGACGATTTGTTGTTATTTCTACTTAAGGTGGAAATGATGTTTGTTTTAGATACTGACAAAACTTAAACCTAAATTCTTTTTTCTTTCTTTCTTTTTTTTTTTTTTTAAAGATTTATTTATTTATTTGGAAAGGCAGATTTACAGAGAGGAGAGAAAAAGATCTTCCACCTGCTGGTTCACTTCCCAAGTGGCTACAGCAACCAAAACTGAGCAATCCAAAGCCAGGAGCCAGAAGCTTCTGGGTCTCCCACGTTGGTGCAGTGTCCCAAGGCTTTAGGCCATCCTCAACTCTGCTTTCCCAGGCCACAAGCAGGGAGCTGGATGGGAAGTGGAGCACCTGGGACACAAACTGGTGCCCATACAGGATCCTAGCGCATACAAGGCAAGGACTTTAGCCACTGGATTAGGGTGCCAGGCCCAGCCTAGGTTCTTAAGTGGCTTTTCTATAACCTGTGCAAATAAGCAAGATCTTGATGTTCCACCAAAATGGGACTCTGCTTAGATTATGTAAACTGCATTCTGCCTTGAATGAGATTTAAGTGTGTATCAATATTTCATTGTTCATGAGTAACAGGATAAATTCGTAGCATTAATACAGGTTGAGAATTCCTTATCCAAAGTGTTTTGGACTGGAAGTGTTTTGAGTTTCAGATTGGGAATTGGAAACATTTGAATATATACATAATAAGCATCTTGAGGATAGGACTCAAGTCTAAACATACAATTCTTGGTTTCATATATGCCTTATACACCTTCTATTCAGAGCCTGTGGTAACTTTAGACAGCATTCTTTCAATACATCTGCATTTTGAATATAACCCATCTCATGAGGTCATAGGTGAAATTTTCCATTTGTGCAGTCATGTTGGCACTCAGGAAGTTTCAGATTTCAGATTTCGGATTACGGATGCTCAGTGTATATTGCCTTATTTTGACAAGGACCAGATAAGTGAAAATATTTTTTCACACAATTATACCATGTACATTTTATAGTTGTATGAAGCCTAGTTGCTTCAAATCAGTAAATTCTATCTTAGGTTAAGTAGTAAAGGATGATTTTGGTTTTTGGTTAATCTTATAGGAGATAAGTAGTCATTGTAATTTATTAATTTTTCTTTTTAAAGTTTATATTTTAAAAATTTATTTTTGTCAGGCTTTTTCATAGGATACCTTTAGTGGTTGCCAATCTAGGCATGTCTGAACAAATGGGTTATAAAACTGTATCAGGTTCCTGTATGTCGGCTGGTTTTAGCAGAGCAGTGAAAACACACAGGTAGGATTCCTCAGCTGCTTTTCACTTTCCCTGCTTCTAGTACTTCTCTGATCATAAGACAGCAATATATGTAAATTTTAGCTTGTTCATTCCAATTTAGAATAAGTAGTGAGCCTTAAAATTGTAATTTGTAATGTAGCAGATCAGAGTAAAGGCAAAGAAAAACAAAGGCAGTAGTCAAGGTTTTGTCTGCTCTGGGCTGCTTAGGTTTAACTTCTGTGGCTGCTAACTAATGCCAGAAACAAGTATACCTACTAAAACATGAACTTGATGTGGATAAGGAGTTCGATTTTTGTCCCCACAGAGCTCAGCAGTGCAGGAATTGAATACCATATTTCATTGATTTTTGAGATTGTTTTCATGTTGTTGGAGTGTTTTATGAACTGAATACTTTTTTTCTTTCATGTATCATAAATGTTGTTGCCTCCTTCAATGAAGGATGGGTTAAATTCAGTAAAATATTATTTGTATTGACTTCTATACCTATTGCCAAAACAGAACAATTTTTCATTTTTTCCCTTTTTTGAGTTTATCTATTTTTACTAAATGTGATTTTTGTTTTGTTTTGATGACCTGGCGCAGTAGTATTTAGAAGTTAAAGCATTTGTTATTATAAAGATGTGTGAAGTAGATTTTCTGGTTGGTTTTGCTGAACACAAACAGGATGACAAAAGTATGGTCTCTTCAAGTTCAGTGAAAACTTTCCATCACTCTTTGACTACAAATACATTTTGTACCTTATCATTAAGATGAGTTCTGTATATATACTGAAGGAAACGAATGTTTTACAGATCCGAGTTTTTTAAAGATGATGGATCTTTAAAGGAGGTACATAGGATAAATGAAATGTATGCTTCATTGCAGGACGAACTAAAGGTAAGTTAACATAAACATGCTTCTACAGTTCCTAAATCGTATGGACCTCCGCCACCCCTGTGGGAGACTGGAAGAGGCTCCTGGCTTCTAGCTTCGGCCTGGCTCAGCCCCGGCCATTGTGGCCATTTAAGGAGTAAACCATTGCAAGAGCTCTCTGTCTTCCTCGCTCTGTAATTCTGCCTTTCAAATAAATAAATAAATCTTTGGGGTGGAGGAAGGAAAAAATACATATCGCATGCGTGAGATGTCTTTCTCTGCATGGCCTCCTTTTCCTAACATATCCTCCAGATTCATGGATTGTATTGCAAATGTGGGATTTTAGTCTTTCAGACTGAGTAATATTGCACACTATATATGCATACATATATTCATATATACAATATATCACATTTTCATTATCAAAAAGTGTTCCTCAGGTTGGGTCCCTGCGTTGCTTATTTCAAAAGTGTTATAGATATCCTAAAAAACATCTGCTAAAACCAGCTGTGACAACTTATTCAATTTTTATAACTTGAAATTAGTTAAGTTCAATTTAATATTATATTCAAACTATGGAACATATTTTTTTGTTAAGTTATTCTCCAAATGGAATTTCTCATATTTCTAAAAATTGATGACACATAAGCCTAGTTTGCTTTTCAAAAGTAGTTCTTTTGGTAGCAATTAAGATCTTAGATCTGTAACAGTAAAAAATAATATTTCATATTTTGTCAATTTGTTAAAGCTGAATAACTGCAATAACAATACATCTGAGGGATGTTTCCAGTTGTTTGAAAATAAGGGGGCATATATTTGCTATGGTTCAAATGCCAGTCAGCGCTGCATGGGAGACCTGCATCACTTATTGGGTGCCTGGTTCATGTCTCAGATCTCTGTGTTTTCTAAGTTTATTGACAGGAGAAAGGTATCTCACATCTGCTGGTCTGCTTTTCAAATGCATGTAATGGCCACCTCTGGGCTGTGCAGAAGGCAAGAGCCAGGAATTTCATTGTGAGCTGCCATGACCCTGCTGTACCACTAGGCAGGCCCAGTTCTGTTTCTCATACTAGCTTGTGAATGATACCCTGGGAGGAAGCTGTGATGATTTGAGTATCTAGGTCCCTATTACACGTATGGGAGATTCATATTGAGTTCTAGGCTATTGGCTTTGGCCTGGACCAGTCCCAGCTGTTGCAGGCATTTGCGGAGTGAAGCAGTAGATGGAAACTCTTAGTCTCTTTTACATAAGATGAATAAATTTTTAAGTAGGTGAAATGAACTATCTTAGCTACATTTGTGTCATTACATTAGTATTAAGTTAATAATTGCTAAAGAGCTACATTTGAGAAGCATTCCAAAAGATAGCAAAATACGAGCCCAGCGCCATGGCCTAGCGGCTAAAGTTCTCGCCTTGAATGTGCCGAGATCCCATATGGGCACTGGTTCTAATCCCGGCAGCTCCACTTTCCATCCATTTCCCTGCTTGTGGCCTGGGAAAGCAGTCGAGGACAGCCCAAAGCTTTGGGACTCTGCACCCTCATGGGAGACCAGGAAGAGCTCCTGGATCCTAACTTTGGATCAGCACGGCACTGGCTGTTGCACTCACTTGGGGAGTGAATCATTGGACGGAAATCTTCCTCTGTCTCTCCTCTCTGTATATCTGACTTTGTAATGAAAATAAGTCCTCAAAAAATTTATGCAAAAGGCAAAAATACTAGTTGATAGTATATGTTATATGTTACTCAAATTTGTATATTATTTAACTAAATATAAACATTATTTATACAGAACTTGCGATTTTATGCCTTTAAATCGTTGTTTTGCAGACTGTATGCAAAAAAGTAGAAGATAGTGAACGAGCAGTGGAGAAACTACTAGAGGATGTAAACAGATTAAAACGAGAAATTAAAACAAGGAAAGAGGCACAGATTCAAGCATCAGGTAAGGAAAAGTTAACATAGCCTGGCTTGCTATACTTTCCTCACCGACTGGAATTATGAACAATCCAGGCAGGTGGACTGTGATGAATGCATCCACCTTGAATTAGAGGTAGTCATTTTATCCAGTCTCCTATCCCACTGAATAATGAACATGGTATTATATTAGCTGTACTGTTGATGTTAAAAAGCATAATTTTCCATGGCGTATAAATTAGAATTTGGAATGTCATGTGATATTCTCACTCTAGATAATTTAATTAACTGTTCAAATCTTTTTAAGTTGATCTTTTGTGTTTTTTTTTAGAAAAGAAGAGCACCTCCCAAGATCCCCAGGAGAACGTTTTCCTTTGTCAAGCTTTACGGACCTTTTTTCCAGAGAATGAATTTCTCCATTCCTGTGTTATCTCTTTGAAAAACAGGCAGGTTTCTAACACTGCTTGTACCATCAAGCACCACGTGAATGAGGTAAACAGCTTGACCTTGATGGTAGACTGCACAGATATCCTGGACACGAGTCCAGGCAGCACCCCAGCAGAGAGTAAGCGTAAAGCCTTTGACACCGAGGATCAGTGGCCACTCAAGAGATCACGGCTACCAGAGAGAGAAAAGAAACTATCTGAAGCAGACACTGATAGCAGTAACCCGGACAGAGTCTCTCCAGTGAGCAGCCTGGAAACAGATGATGACTTTGAGAAAATGAAGGATTCTGGTGAATACCCACAGTCCCCCACGTTCTGACCTGCTTCATCCAAAAGGAGATTTGTGAATTGGCTGAAAAATTCAGCTGTTTTATTTATGCTATATTTTGCTGCCTTCAGCAATACATGTATGAGTTCATTTGTTTTTACTATATTCAGACATGAGCAGAAGTGTAAAGATGGTTTGTTTTACTATGTTCACTGGTTTGCAGTAATACCTGAAGAAATTTTAGTGTATTTTACAAAGCATTGTAAAAATATCAGATGCTTCTATTTTAAAACCAAAATTTTTATTCACTATTTACTTAAATTGCTGATGCATTCTTTTAAATGTGACAATATTTCAAATTAGAAAATAGACTAGCCTATTTCCATAGCATGAAGAAAGTCAAGTACATATGAAAAATTTATTTTTAGCTTAGTAATTATAATTCCTATTCCTTAAGTATTCATAAAAAGCACATTATGGCCAGAAAATACATGGGGCATCATGCAATATTTGGAACATTATTGTATTAAAACTTGTTTATCTGAAATTCAAATTAATTGGGCATATTGCTAAGTCTGGTGGCCCTACTTATGGTACAGTTGTAATGCAGTGAAAGCTCTAGTGTCCTTACCCCCAAATTGTGAGTGAATCCAAGTGAAGTATAGCACAAGCCTAATAATCCAGTGAGTCTAGGGTTAACATATTGCTCAGATAAGGCCAGTCACCAGTGGGATTCAGGAATAAAATCTGTGTGCATACATATAGACATGCAAATATTAAAGGTTTCAGTCTGACATGGAAATAGAAAAGCACATTACTTTGCTAATCAGTCAGTCCAGGACCAGGAAGTTCTCTGTATGGAATGCAGTGACCATGCTCATTACTGAACTCCTCTAACTTGCAGAACTGCAGATCCTGGCAAAGTTCCTTAAACACAAAATGAAGCTGGGCGGGAGCACCCTTATTCCCCTACTTATTTGTAATTAAGAGTTTTTCCTTTTCATTCAAAGTTCATTACCTTCATCAAACTTTTCCAAAACAAGTATCCAAACGGCAAGCCTTGGTAATACAGAGCACAAGTAGAGGTCCTCGCCTTCATGATTTTTAGGGGGAGTTGGTTAAGTGCAGGTTAGCTGAGAGCTTTTCCCCTATGTGTATGTGTATATGTCTACATATACCATGTGCAGCCTTCTCTACACTGCATTCACTGGATGAAATGCTGAACACATCTGACCATTGCTTATCTGTTACTGCCTATAGCAACTATTTGGTAAAGAACATTTGAACTAGTAACAAATATTTTGATCTTCTATCAGCATGTATTAAATACTGTGCTGGGGTGTTTATGAAGGTACACATTACCAGTAATGGTTTATGCAAATCATAAATTGGTACTCTTGGGGCTGTGTGTAAGTAGGAGGAGGGAAAGCAGAGTTGTCTGAATCCAATTGTATCATGAGCGAGTTGATAACAGCTATTTACAAGCCATTTTAGTTTATCAAGGACACTACCAGTTTGAAGATTTCACTCAGGAATGTTCTGTCCTTGATCCTAATTTATTTCTCTGAGGCAAGATCTATTCTGTGACCAGGCATGTTTAGTTAAAAAAAAATTAGCCTGGGTAAAGTCAGTGCTATACCTAGTCACATGGGATTCAGACATTACACAAAAATCATCCCCATTTCTAAGTCAGAATCTGGGCCTAATGTAGAATTCTTGTATTAGGATTCCCAGGTGCTTACTCCTGAAATATCTGGAATGTTATATGATCTATTGAGGACCAGATATAAGTAACAGTCACATAATACCGTTTTATTCAAGGTATATACAGCATTATAAACGTCAACATTTTAAATAAGCTATCTGTTAAAATGAACACTGACAGTGGAAGATTAGCTTCACTCCCGATCTCCTGAAACCCTTCTACCCGCGGATTAGTTTTAGTCAATACTGGCCTCATACAACCACTTACTATAAAAGAAGTTTATTGGTGGGAACCTTACACAGCTTATTCCCGATACTTTATGTTACATACTTTAGGGTCTTTAAGATAGACAGGATCCTTATATGTAACCGGCATAAACCCTGTAAAGAGATAATTAAAGATCTTCACAAAAGAACGAGCAACATTTTGACTAGTTCAATTTGGTTCCTTAGATGCTCTTACCCATTATTTGAGCTCTCTTAATTGCTTTTGTGATTTCTTTCTGTTTCTTCCCACAAAGGCCTAAAAAAATAAGTTTTTCAAGTTTCTTATTATAAGCTGAAGTTTTACATATGTCTTCAAATCTCTCGTTAATTATAAGCACAAACCAAAATAGATCTGTCTAGGAGGCCTTTTGAGTTGCTAAATCTAGCCTGTGTAGTTTCTAGTTTAATAGTGATTTATAGCATAATTTAACATTTTTCTTAAATGATACAAGTGGCTTGACAAAATTCTTACAGTTAAGTTGCTGTGATAAAAACTAACATACCTGTTATGTGCCTTCCATAAATGCATCCAGTAAATGGAGAAACAAACTGGGACAAAAGCTGGTTTTGAAACAAAAACAAGACCATGTTAACACACTTGTTTCTCAACCCTGAAGGTAATTAAAATATTTACGTTCATTTTTATTGGAAAGTCAGACATACAGAGAGGAAGAGAGAAAAATCATCCATCTGCTGGTCTACACCCCAGATGGCCACAACAGCTGGAGCTGAGCTGACTCAAAGCCAGGAACCAGGAACAACTTCTGAGTCTCCCACACAGGTGCAGGGTCCTGAGACTTTAGGTCATTTGCTGCTGCTTTCCCAGGCAACTAGCAGGGAGCTGGATGGGAAGCGGAGAAGCTGGGACACAAACTTGTGCCCATATGGGATCTTCATGCTTGCAAGGCAAGGATTAGCCAATTGAGCCACTGCAAAACCAAGCCTTGAACATAATGTTTTTATAATCCTTTATGACTTCTAAGCTATGTATAGATTCAGTACAATTTACATGAATTTCATAAAATGTAACAAGCTATCCTAACTAGCCATCTTCAAATAGCTAACATCCAGTGTGCCAAAAACTATACAGTTACTGAATTGCTTTACTGACCTCCACATTCAGTTTTCTATAATAACTGGTGCTTAAAACAATTTGCACAACATCAGGACAGGCAAACACGGAAGCCTAAAATTAACACTACACTGAGGTATTTAAGAGGCTCACCAAACCGTTTGCTATAATTTAAGTCTTAAATACTACATCAGCACCTTCTAACGTGCTAGACACTGTTCTTGGCACTTTGCACAATCTGTGCTGTGTTTTTATAATTCCTCTCAGAAGGAAAAACCATTCAACCCTCTCAAGTTTGTCACCTGCAATTTGCTGAGAGTTTGACAAGGGGTAACATGTTCATGGCATTGAAGTTCACATGGCCGATTCACGTGAGGCGCCTCTTCCACAAGTAAACAACAATTGAAAATCACTTCCATGCTGAGCTACTGTTAACGTATTCGGAGCAGTGGAAAAAGGAGAAATGCCTTGTTCCAACAACAGGAAGGGCCAGCCAGCAGCTCTTTTTGAATAAAACAGACACCTTACACATATAGAGTGATAACCAGATTAGAAATCATGAAGTTGCTAAAGCACAGAGCCCCCATTTGCCAGTCCATCCAATAAATGGCCGCGGTGGCTGTGGCTGGGCTGAAGCTGGAATTCCGGCAGCCTGGCAGGAACCCAAGAGCGTCATCACCGCTGCTCCCCAGCAGAGCTGGAAGCTGCAGCATGCAGAATCTTCACTGCTCAACACCCTTGATGGGATTCCTTCGGCGCAGGACTAACCAGGGGGTCAAATCCGAAGCAAGCATTAACCAAAGTAAAATCAGATCTCACCTGAACATTCTTATAATCTACACGTTTTCCACACAAGATGCATTTCTTAAGAGGCTCCTTAAAAGGATTTTCCATTGGAACAGGCTAGGATAAAAGAAAAGTGTGACAATATAATCTGTGCAACTTGAATTTGAGAAATTTAAATCTTAGGGTTACTATATTTAAAGTTCAATCACAGGCACCTAGTACCTTTCTTACTGTGTACTTTATATAAGCACTTTTCCATTTAGCTGAGGAAGAGTTAACTCATGGAGGAGTCTCCATTAAAGTAACATATTCAAGTAGGAAAAACAAATTGTGGGAGGAAAAAAGTCTGAAAAATGTTTTCTTCCCCAAGATTGTAGATGATTAAAAATTTATAATCTATTAAGAAAACTTATAGAACAATGATATTTTTTTTTTTAATTTTTTTTTTAAAGATTTATTTTTATTATTTTTTATTGGAAAGGCGGATATACAGAGAGGAGAGACAGAGAGGAAGATCTTCCATCCGATGATTCACTCCCCAGGTGAGCCGCAACGGGCCGATACTATGCCGATCCGAAGCCAGGAGCCTCTTCCGGGTCTCCCACGCGGGTGCAGGTTCCCAAAGGTTTGGGCCATCCTCAACTGCTTTCCCAGGCCACAGGCAGGGAGCTGGAAGGGAAGCGGGGCTGCCGGGATTAGAACCGGCGCCCATATGGGATCCCGGGCGTGCAAGGCGAGGACTTAACCACTTGCGCCACCGCGCCGGGCCCGAACAATGATATTTTTAAGTTAGTGTAATCTTTATAGTTTATCCATCCCCATATTTCTTTATCAGATATTTTGTCACTGCTTGTCTTTACCAGATCTTCATTTGCTGGTTCACTTTCCAGATGTCTGCAACAGCCAGGCCTGGGTCAGGCTGCAGCCAGGAACCAGGACCTCATTCCACGTCTCCTAGCTGGTAGCTGGGTCCCACACACTCAAGCCATCACCTGCTGCCATCCACGGTGCGCATTAGCCGGCAGCTGGGATCAGAAGTGAATAAGGACATGATCCAGGCATTCGCGTGGGATGTAGGCTTCCCAATGGTGTGACAACCATTTTGCCAAATACCTTCTCTAACATAGAAGTTCTAAGTTTAAAAATGACTTTGGGAGCCAGGATTGTAGCACAGCATGTTAAGTTGTTACTTACAATGCCAGCATCCCATATAGGCTTTGGTTTAAGCTCCCAGCTGCTGCATTTCTGATCTCACTCCTTGCTAAAGTGCCTGGGAAAGCAGTGGAAGATGGCCCAAGTACTTGGACCGCATGGAAGACCTGGAATAGGTTCCTGACTCTCAGCTCCAGTCTGACCCAGCTCAAGATGTCCTGCCCTTTGAGGAGTGAACTTGCAATGGAAGATCTCTATCTCCACGCCCCCATCCCACTATAACTCTTCTAAATCAATATTTGAAGTCACTGCTGCTTCCCAGGAGAGCAGGAAGCTGCAGCATGCAGAATCTTCACCGCTAAACACCCACCCCTGGTGGGATTCCTTCGCCCAGGACTAACAAGGGAGCATCCAAGTAAGCAAATCTTTTGTAGCTTTGTTCACTCATTTATTCAGGCAGCTTCCGCATCCATGGCTGACCCCAAACATAATGAGATAAAGGTAGGAAAAATGTGAATTCAACAGGACACTCAGCCTACAGCTAACCTTTGATAGTTTCTTTAGTCTAATACTAAAATACATATCCTTAAATTTTAAGATCTTGCATGAGAAATAATTTTACACAACCTGTGATTATTGCCAGGAACTTATGAAGAGTCCTTCAAAAACTACATGACTATAATCAACGCATTCTAATTTCCAAACTCTGGAATTATCTTACTGTCCTGAAGAACTTCACCCATGTAACCAAAACACGAGAATTAGGTCATTATTTATAAATGCTTTACTAATAAATCTTACCAGGTCCTCATTGCTGGTTAGTTGTGAACAACCTCTTCTCCACAGCACTGCAAGTAAACAGAAACGAACCAGTTCTTACTGTTAACTGAATAGCTAGAGGAGGTCAAATGCATCCAGAAACATGTTTTATATTCATTTTTCAAGGATGGTTAAGAGTCTTTCGGTTCGGGGCTTTGAGGAAAAGAGCCCATATTCTCCTACGCGTAAAACCTCTCACCAGCTGGTTGCCTAACACTTTTGTTTCACGCCATGGCTAGAGATGAAGGCGCAGTCACACACAAACAGGAAAATCGATAACAGAGAATGCAGTGCACTTGTTGATAGACATGCAGAGAAGATGAGATTATCAAAATGAGAGTTCGAGAGCCCAAGACACAGCAGCTTGGCTCGGATCTAGTTCAGACACCTGCACCTTGGCAGCCAGAGGACGGGAAACGTCTCCCTCGCCACGCTCATCGGGCCAGCTTCTGCAGATCCCTGCCTCTCCCTCCGGGTACAGGTGCTAACGGCGAGGAGCTCTGGCATCCCTTCCGGCTCTCATCAAACACTAGCCAAGAGCCGTCACAGATTCCCACCCATCCCTAAGAAACGGAGTCCCCTGCAAACTAGCTTCGCTCAGCTAACTGGAGACTCTGCCCACCACCCGGGGCCCAGACAGCGATTGCAAAGCTACCATGGAGCGCAGCAGCTGGGGACTTTACCGGCGTGAGCTGCGGGATCTGGGAGGCCGACGGCTGCCGTCCCCAGCGTCAACTTCTTCCTCCCCAGGACCCTACAGACAGCAACTATAGCTGCCATGGTTCGTCGTCCCTTCCCTTCCTTTCCTTCCTCCCAGCAGGTCCCTTCCGGTGCCCTTCCCCCGCTGCCGGGAGAATTCTGCTCAAAGGTTCCGCTGGCGAGTACGGAGCACAGGGCGAAGAGCGGCTGGAGGTCTTCAGCGCGCACGCGCAGCGCTGCCCGCGTTCTGGCCCCTCCCCGCGCCGCCAGAAAAACGTGACGCTTCTGATTGGACGAGGAGAGGGCGGGCTCTTACGCTCGTCCCCCTGCTTCCGGCCCCTAATTTTGGGGTGTTTTCTCCTCGGCTGATGGAGCCTCGGGCGCAGTGTGGCCCTGTATGCATCTGCATCCCACCTTGCACATTCCGCTGGAATTTGGCGGCTGCGTCATTAGGAACTAGGAAGTGTCAGGGCTCTTGGCCCCTGTTACAATGGATGAAGATGATTTCCGCATCTGCCGGAGGGTGGCTGTTCGCAAAAGGGTCCGTCCAAGCATCCGAGTCACCCTTACGGATGCTGAGCTCCAGCGGAGCGATGAGGAAGAGGAGGAGGAGAAAGAGGAGGAGGAGGTGGCCGAGTGCCGGAGGCGGAAAACCGTGGGTGTGCAGCCGGTCGAGGTATAGGTGTTCACGCAAAACCTCCTGCGTGCGTGAAGTGATGACGGGTGATAAGCTTCCGGAGTCCCTGCCGTTTTGCATGCGCGCCGCGACACCAGGTGCCCGAGAGCTTGGCGCCTGAGTGCGTAGCCCGCTGCTTCCCAGCTGCAGGCAGCTGACCGTGAGGGAATGGCCTTCCTTGGCTTCATTCCTCTGCGTCCCGCTGTTAATTGGCACGTAAGAGATGCCACCATGTTATCCCAGAGCTACAGTTTCTAAAATTTTATTTTATTTTTTTTTTATTTATTTTTATTATTTTTTTATTGGAAAGGCGGATATACAGAGAGGAGATACAGAGAGGAAGATCTTCCGTCCGATGATTCACTCCCCAAGTGAGCGCAACGGGTCGATGCTATGCCGATCCGAAGCCAGGAGCCTCTTCCGGGTCTCCCACATGGGTGCAGGGTCCCAAAGCCTTGGGCCGTCCTCGACTGCTTTCCCAGGCCACAGGCAGGGAGCTGGAAGGGAAGCGGGGCTGCCGGGATTAGAACCGGCGCCCATATGGGATCCCGGGCGTGCAAGGCGAGGACTTAACCACTTGCGCCACCGCGCCGGGCCCCTAAAATTTTATTTTTAATGTTGATTATTTACTTGAGAGGGCAACAGACCAGTGTGGGCCTCCGCTTAGGGTGGGGAGGGTCGAGGTTTGGGGGCAGGTAGGTGGGACAAATGTGGTTTTTTTCTCCAGTGTCTGCAGCTGGGTAAAGGGAGGGGGCCTGGCGGCTTTTTGCTGTAAATGCAATCAGCACCCAGGGATGGGGGAGAGTCGGTCATTTGATGTCATCTTTGAGACCCCGATGTAGGGCGGATTGTTCCCAGAGTGTTGCTTGAGTGGTTTTGATCATTCTAAGGTGTTAGCAACTCCCTTGCACAGGGGTTGAGGAAATTTTTTTCTTTTAAGATTTAGTTTATTGGAAAGTCAGATTTATGCAGAGAAGAAAAATCATCTGTCTGCTCATTCACTCCCCAAGTAGCCGCGGCTGCAGCCGAGCTGAACCCAAGCAAAGACCCAGAGCTTCTGGGTCTCTTACGCAGGTGCAGGGTCCCAGGGTCCCAAGGCTTTGGGCTCTCCTTGGCTGCTTCCCCAGGCCACAAGCAGGGAGCTGGAAGGGAAGTGGAGCAGCCGGGATACGAACTGGCACATGCAAGGTGAGGACTTTAGGACTTTAGTTGCTAGGCTATTGCGCCAGGCCCGCAAAAAAAAAAAAATCTGTTGGCAGACCAGTGCTATTTCAGTGTATACACAAAGTCAGACACTCACGTATACTTTGTACAACAACAAATAAGTGACATGACAGAGATGTGAGATTTGACTGGGAAATGAACTGCTGCTTGTGTTGCACTGATGTATTACATAGCTGGCTTTTACAACAGTAATCAGGCCCTGACCTTAGAGTCTGGGCCAGAACTCCCCCCCCCCCCCCATCCCCGGACATTAGGGTGCGAGCTAGTCAACCCCCAGAAAATGACAGAGTCTCGCTGGTAATGCAAAAAACAAACAGCCAGCATGCTGGGGTCAGATCGTACTTGGGGCACACAGGCTAGCCAAGCGGATCAGACCCCGACTTAACATTAGGCTGGAGATTATATACCCCGTTTTGGCTGTAACATATATCAAAGTCAACTCAAAAGTAACAAATTTAGGTGCAAACAGTCTGTTCCGTTCTCACACTCATTATTTATGTCTCACACTTATTATTTACGGCTCATCCCATCCTGGCACCCTTATCTTTGTGGCTCCTCCAGTATTTTATGGCTCCTCCAGTCCCTGGGGCCAGGGAACTGTGCCCCTGCCTTCCTGCACCTGGGTTAGATGGTAGATAAGTTCACAAAGAAACAAGGGAGACAGATTGATCACTAAAGTGGAGCTTTCCCACAGTGCAGGCGCCTTCTGACCTAGTAAAGTAGTGGTTTCTCACCCCAAAGGGCCTAATATCACCTAACATTAATATTCTTAACATTTTAACATACTAACATTATACCAATACTCTAACACTGAGAAGACACAGTGCTGACAGCACGTTCTGCGTTCTTAGTCTTCACTGTATTGCTGCCTTCAGATTACATCTCAGACGCAGGCTCGGTTAAAACTTCCCAGGAACAGAATCTCCCTGGAGTTTCTCTAAGCAGGGATGGAGAAGCTTTTTCTACCAGGGGCTACTTGGAGGTTTATAACATCCATCATTCGTGGGCCATGCACAAATTTGTCAGCTTGTAAAGCAGCATGCTAGGTAGCAAGCTTAGATGCAGAAATTGGAAGGCGTAGCTCCCTAGCCTGTGTAATGCAGGCTGCCTACTTGTCAATCAAATGTCTCTTTCCCCAGGTGGTCCTCCCCCTCACCTGGGGCTGGGAGGTGGTATCTTATAACCACTCTCTTTCCTTGACTCACCAGCTGAGCAACAGGGAGAGACAATGGGGAGGGGCCCCCTCTCTGTCTCTTCTTGGATGCAAGGGGAAAGTAGAAACATCTTTTCTCCCAGCTATCTCCTCTCTGACTCCTGAATGTGTTTCTGTGATTCCCTCACTTTTAAAATAAACTTGACAAAAAAAAAAGTTAGCCTGCTGTGGATTTATTGAATTTTGAGTCCCTTCCCTTGGAAGGGCCAAACCAAATTATGTCGAACATCTCTTTACATCCCACAGGCTGGAGATTCCCTGCCTGTGTTGTTTGTTTATTCTGTTATTATTGTAGGCCAGATTTTTAGAGACTAGAGTCTAGGAGCTGTCAGAATCTGGTAGTAAACTGACATCCCAGTAGGTATCTTCTTGCCTTGCTGTGGTTTAAGAATTCAACACTGGCTCAAGAATTAGAGTCTTCGGGCCAGGCTCAGAACCCAGCAGCTAGAAGTCCTCACATTACATGTGCTGGGATCCCATATGGGTGCCAGTTCTAATCCCAGCTGTTCCGCTTCTCATCAAGCTCCCTGCTTGTGGCCTGGGAAAGCAGTAGAGGATGGCCCAAAGCCGTGGGACCCTGCACTCATGTGGGAGACCCAGAGGAGACTCTGGGCTCTTCGCTCAGGATCGGTGCAGCTCTGGCTGTTGCGGTCGCTTGGGGAGTGACTGATTTAATGGAAGATCTTCCTCTCTGTCTCTCCTCCTCTCTGTATATCTGATTTTCCAATAAAAATAAATAAATCTTGTTAAAAAATGAATTAGAGTTCTCTAATCACCAAATAACAGATCTCCATTGCTCCTCTGTAGAATGATGACGCTTGTATCTGTTCCAGGATCCAGTTTTTGTCATCACCTGCAATGTTGGCATTCTATATCCAAGTGCTGATTCTAGTCCTAGCTACTCCACTTCCCATCGAGATCTCTGCTATTGCATCTTGGAAAGCAGCAGACGATGGCCTAGTACTTGGCTTGCCACCCCTCACGGGAGACGCAGATAGAGTTCTAGGCTCCTGGTTTCTAACTGGTGCAGTCCCTGGCCATTGGGACCATTTGGAGAGTAGATTGGCAGAGGGAAGATCTTTCTGTCACTCTGCCTTTCAGATAAGCAAATCCTAGCATAGCTTACTTCCATTTGTGTCTATATATCCCCTACAGTCCCAGGTTGAAGCTTTTGCTGTTAATATAACCAGATCTGCCTATAAATACTTTTGTTTTCTTCCAGTATGACAGTGAAGAGGACATGTTTGGTGACTATGATAGCTTTGCTGAAAACTCCCTTTTAGCTCAAGTTGATGACCTGGAGCAGAAATACATGCAACTTCCCGAACATACAAAACAGGCAACTGACTTTACCACTGAAGATCTTTCTTCAGAAATAAACAAAAATGAACTCATCATTCCCACTGTGAGCAGCTTTACTGAATTAAACACAGAAGAGCACACGGAGGGACAGAGTGCACCTAAAGAGGTCCGTGTTGAACACGGGACTGATATTTCATTTGATGTGCCTTCCTCACAGGTTTTGTACTTTGAAAATTTACAGAACTCTTCAAATGGGTCAGGGGACCAGTCTAATAAAGAAAGGGATCTGAACTCATCTTCTCACGGGACTAGGACCGAGCAGTTGGCCCTTGATCACATAGAGCATCCTCAGCAAAATGATGAGTTCTCACCTAAAGTCAGAACAAGTTCAGATGTGAACAGGAGGAGAAGTGTTAGAGATCATCTAAAAAGTGCCATGACTGGAAATGCCAAGGCTCAAACGCCGGTGTTTTCTAGGAGTAAACAGCTGAAAGAGACTCTCCTATCTGAAGAAATGAACGTTGCTCAGAAAGCCATTGAGGCCTCATCGGACGACGTTGGTCCTTTCTATTCATTGCCCAGCAAAGTCAGAGATCTCTATGCTCAGTTAAAAGGAATTGAAAAGTTATATGGTAATGCTTTCTGCTGCAATGAAAACTAGGTTTTCCTTTGTTAACCTTCAATTAGTACAAATCGATGGGAACAGGTTTCCATATCATATTTCTCAGCTTGAAAATAAGTTAAAAGACTGGTTGTCTCTGTCTTCCACCCCTAACCTGCGAGTACTGAACCTTTCTGGCCAGCCTGACAGCCACACTTCCCTATCTGTCCTGTTAGTACTGTTCCCCACTCCAACAGTCATGCTTCTCGAGCCAGTTATGCTTGCTATCTCTTTCCTCACCTCAAAAAATTCTCCAATCTATCCCAGTTCTGGGTTCTGTGCTTTTACTTAGGATGTAAGACCTAAGCATCTAATGAGACTTTTCATACGTTCCTTGCCAGATTGCTCAGTTGAGACTCCTTCCTAAACTTTTTTAAAGATTTATTTTATTTTTATTACATAGTCCGATATATAGAGAGGAGGAGAGACAGGGAGGAAGATCTGCCTTTTGATGGTTCACTCCCCAAGCGGCTGCAATAGCTGGAGCTGAACTGATCCAAAACCTGGGGCAGGTGCAGGGCCCCAAGGCTTTGGGCCATCCTTGACTGCCTTCCCAGGCCGCAAAAGGGAGCTTGATGGGAAATGGGGCTGCTGGGAATAGAACTGGCACCCACATGGGATCCTGGTGCATGCAAGGGGAGGACTTTAGTCCCTAGGGCACCACGCTGGACCCTTTCCTGAACTTCTTGACCCTCCATTCCTTTATTCTGGTTGTTTAGCCATTTCACACTTTCCTTAACTGGTGTTTCTACGGTTGGCTTTGTCTTTTCTACCAAAATGTTGAATTCTTTAGAACGCACATATGTTGAGTGAAGTCGGTGATAGTATTACTTGGTACAACATCTTTGGTTAAGTGCTTGATTTCTCATCTTAAGCTTAAGATGCCGCTTGAGGTGGCAACATCCCTTATGTTAGTGCCTGGGTTCAAGTCCCAGCTGCACTTTCAGTTCACTTCTCTGCATCCTGGGAAAGTAACAAGTAGTGGCTTGGTTACCTGCCACTCACATGGGACATCTGGGTGGAGTTCCTCGTTTCTGGCTTCAGCCTAGCCCAGGCGTGGCTACTGTAGGCACTCAAGGCATGAGCCACTGGATGGAGGATGTCTCTGCCTTTCAAGTTTGAAGTAAACTAAACGTCCCTAAAGAAGCTGTAGTTAAGATGGAAGTGCAGTGCTCCTTTTGGCAGCACATACACTAAAACTGAAAAAATTAAGTGCAAGGGGATAGAAGTAATACCAATCTTACAATGTTTTTGGGAAATCTTGGAATCTTGTTTAAAGGAGAGTACATCAAAAAGTTGGTGGAAAGTACACCTTGTGGGTAAAAAACATGGATTTCAAAATTTTTTTTAGTACCAGACTGAATTTGTCTTGATTCCATTTGTCGTGAATGTTCTGAATTATTCTCATATTTCAAATATATCTTAATTAAGAGAGAGAGAGGTGTCCTATCCACTGGTTCACTCCCAAGAGTCCCACAGCCTAGCTGTAGCCTGAAGCCAGAAACTATGCAAATCTACATAGATGATGGACCCAATTACTTGGGCCTCACTACTGCTTCCCAGAATCTGCATTAGCAGGAAGCTTGAGTCAGGAGCCTGTGACAGGTGTCACAGAGGACCCAGGCTCCTCAGGTTAAAGAAACTGAACTATAGGAATCAATACCAGAGACAATCCAATGAATTCTGAATTGTGAGATTCATGGTTTCATCTCTAATGGTGTTTATTGCCCTTGAAGTAGGTGTGAGCTTTCTTCTGTCTACCTTTCTTTTGTGCCTTTTTTCCTGGCGTTTAATCTGCATCTCCTGCCAGAATGGACACCTGAGAACAGGGCTGTCATTCCTCTTTTTCTCCCATACCTAACACTGCCTGGTTTGCCCTCAACTGCTGGAGACTGTTAGAGCCTCTGGCTCTGTCACTTAGAGCCACACTCAACTTTGATTTCTCATCTGTGAAAAATAGAAAGTAATTGTCTTGCAAATTGCTTTTTTTTTTTTTGTCTAGGACATGCCAAATTAGACATGGGTAGTTAACTGCTGATAATTACATCCAGTAGTTTCAAAATAAGGACTAGTAAATAACTGCTTTTCAGTTCCCTTTTTACTTGCGAGTCTGTTTACTAACAGGAACCACTTAAAACAGGAGTATTTGTGGTGCTTTTTCTTGTGCTAAAAGCGTGGTTCTCCAAGTGTGACTGCTGGACGGCAACATTGGCACCCCATGGAAATGGTGCAGCCCTGGGGTGTCAGGACCTGGCAGGTGGGACCTGGCTCCTGTTTTAACAACCTCCAGGAGATTTCTCGTGGACCCACTCGTTTTTGAACCACTAAGCTAAAAAGTCTCAATCTTACACTGTGACCAGTGTCTTTTTATCATAGAATTGCATGTGCAATGTGTTTCCTGTAAGTGTTGAGGACTAAGTTAATATAGTTTTTCCTTTATTTTGTCAAGACAAGTGAGATTCCTACACATTGTTTTGATCGTTTTATATTTAAAACATCTGAGTTGGAGAAAATGTAGAGATGATTAATTTGGTATAAACGTGCAATTGATAACTAAAGGGTGGTGCCAGCCTGATGCATTTTTTAAAACATAGCTATTAAGTATTTTAATTTAGTTTTAAAAGGAAAAGTAGTCATTTGTACATATTTGAGAATCACCAAAAAGCACATTGATCTTGTAACTCATTCAGACATAATTATTTTTAGTACCTTCACAATATACCTTGCTAGTTATTTTTTAATTAGATTTTTATAACAATATATTCAAACCTAATTTTTATGCCTATAATGTTTCTAGTATTTGAACACATTTGGGTTTATGCTATGTAACCCACATTTATTATGTTTTTACTTAATTATATATTGGATTTAATCTATCACTCTCATTTGTAAGTTGTAAAAAATTCCATTGTCTGATTGTATAGTAATTCACCTACCTTCCCATTGGTCCTGTTGCTTTGCTGTCTGTAGATAAGGCTGAGATTCAGAGCCTGCATACAATCCGCTTAGGGCCCTGCCTAGAATCCTCTAGGGGTAGAGTTCCAGCAGTGATACTCTAGCTAGGTCAAAGGTAAGGGGCAGTTTCCTTATTTGTTACTGCTGGATTTCTTTCTAGGCAGACTGCAGCCGTTTATGATCTAGGGAAAATACTCATTTCTTCCCTCTCTAGTCAATTCTGAGTTTTACATGTGTGAGGGACTTTTTCATTGGTTGTGTTTTGGTACTTACTTGTTTTACCATTTACGTATTTATTGTCACTTGGATTTCTCCATGCTTTAAGATGTCGTATTTTTGCTGCTTTTCTGGAGGTAAAACAATGGTGCACGTTCTGGAGACTTTTACCAATTTGCATTGTCAGAATTTCCCACAGAGTAGCTGTACTAGTTTTCATGTCTTATCCTGGGACTGATCTGTTTTCATGAATCCCAACTTGCTAAGTTGTAGGAGCTCAAGGTGTGCTACCAAATAATCCTGGTCTTTTTAAACAGTCGTACAAAGTTGCAGTAGTATTGAGCTATGCAAGATTCAGATCCCCATGAGAACTCACTGAAGGTTTTAGTTTGTAGAAAACCTCGTAGATATTTCTTTCACTCTGTTAGATTTGTTTACTTTTAATTCAGTGTGACAAGGAGAAACAGAGGATGGTAGTCTTCCACTTGCTCGTGTGTGCCCCACGTGGTCACAGCAGTTGTGTGTGGGCCATGCTGAATCCCAGGAGCCAGGATTCCCATCTGGGTCTCACACATGAATGTCAGGGGGTAAGTGGATGGGTCATCCATGTTGTTTTCCAGGCATATTGTCAGGAAGCTGGATTGGAAGCAGAGAAGGTAGGACTCAAATCTGCTTTCCCATGGGTTGGATATGGGGTGCTGGTGTTGACAGCAGGGGCTTAACCTGCTATACCACAGTGCTGCCTCCACCCTTTTACTGTACATTCAAGGGAGTAAGGAAGGCAAGCAAGCATAATCCCTGCACAGTATGAGAGAGAAAGCGGAATTGACAGAAGTTCTTGTGCTGTCCTTTCACCCTTGGTCTCCAGGCTGTTCCTGCTGTACTAAAACCTTAGACCTAAATGTGCACAGGTGAGTGGGTGCCCTGCTTGCCCTGCTGCTGGACATCTGCTGGATCCACTGGCTGTGTACATCTGGGCACTTTTGCCATTTGGCATAGATAATTATGTTCACCTATATGAAAGATTGCTTCATGAGAAAGGATGTGATTGGAAAGCTTGAGATTGAGCATGTGGAAGGAGAAGATAATTCTTCCTCTTTTTTTTAATTCCATAGAATGGCAACACACTTGCTTAACACTGAATTCAGTGCAAGAGAGAAAAAATTTAATATACTCGTTGCCAACGAGTGGTGGGAAAACCCTGGTGGCCGAGATTCTAATGCTGCAAGAACTGCTCTGCAGGCGGAACGATGTCTTAATGGTCCTCCCCTATGTGGCGATTGTCCAAGAAAAGGTGAGGGTGGTTTTTCAAAACAAAAGTTACTTGTTAAGATTATTTTAGCATTAAGAGCTAAAAACTAGTATCTACATTAACTTGTTGACTGAGAAGTCCCTCTTGGTAGAGATTTCATCTTTTCAGGATATACAAAAATCAGTATTTACATTGAAACACTCTTGAAATGGTAATTATCCTGTGTCAGAAAGTTTTATTTTCTAATTTGGTGGATTAAACTCCATGTTAAATGTATTATTACTATTTAACCTGCTTCTTCAAGCAGAAACTAACCAATTATCAAAATTGGTGAGTTGTACCTTTTTGATATCAGAGGAGACAGCTATAATTCATTTCCACATTTATTATGCAGCTTATAAGTTGCATTTCATTGATCAGCAGTGAGCTGTACAGCTTTGTTCAGTATGTCTCGTCTGTGACCTTGTTTCCATCAATTGGTATTAAATACTACTTGAGTGTTTTTTTTTTTTTTTGGCATATAAATCCCTGTGAGCCTTAGTAATTAAGTTTTTATTCATGTGTGATTTTTGTTCATTTTAATTCATATTCTAGATAACAGGCCTTTCAAGTTTTGGTGTAGAACTTGGTTTCTTTGTTGAAGAATATGCTGGAAGCAAAGGAAGGTTTCCTCCAATTAAAAGAAGGGAGAAGAAATCGCTCTATGTTGCCACTATCGAAAAGGCACACAGCCTGGTGAACTCCCTGATTGAAACCGGGAGAATTAGCAATCTGGGGCTGGTGGTTGTTGATGAGGTTGGTCACTGCTTTGGCAATTGTCAATGTTTTCATTATGCTAACACTCTGTATCATTCTGATCATGATGTGAAACTGCTTAGGACCTCATGAGAAAAAGTACTTCACTTAACATACAGATGACGTAGGGAAAGCCACTCTGTGCTGAATAATCCTAAATTTGGTCTTAGGATCAAATGTTTATTGAAATGTGAATGCATGTGTGTTTAAACAAATTATAATAGTACTACTTATGTATCCATGATATGTCCAGTAATTGCCTCCCTCCAAATACTACTAGGATAATGTATGTATGTTACAGTTATATTAAAAACGTTGAAGCATTAGAAAGCAGGGATTTTTATGCGACTCATGCACAGTACCTGCATGTTTCAGGTGGACACTATTTGAAGATTTACTTCTCTATCTTCCCCCCTTTTTTTCATTTCAAAGCTGCACATGATTGGTGAAGGAAGCCGTGGGGCTACATTGGAAATGACCCTAGCAAAAATCCTCTACACTAGCAGTAAGTATTTTTTTTAAATAAGGTCATTGATTGATTTCCGATCATTGATACTTATAATTCTGTCTCTATAGGTAGTTGCTGAAACTTTCTGTCTTAGTTCTGTAATTTCCGTGATAGGCCTACATGTCTATTTATTAGGATGAGTAGATGGAGTAGCATTATGAAAAGAAATGAAACTAGTCTGAGGAGGTCGTCACTGTCCTCCATCAATAGCTGTTTGCACCCAGGCACCTCACTCACCCTCTGTTTCCGTAAACCTGAGCCAGCAGTGGTTCCCAGCTGATGCGAAGGTTGTGAGGTCCCTGAGTCAAGGCGTGCAGTTAGCCGTGCCTCCCACACCACACTCCCGGAGGCTTGCTGCTGCTGCCTCGTTACTGCTAGCATCATTACAATTACCCTCCTGCCAACAAGCAGTGGGTTTCAGGAGTCACTTTGGGGAGTTGTTCTGCAACACCAAATAATCTTGTGATATACATGAAATATTCTAACTGTCATCTCTGTCATTGATGTAGTCTCATAATTTATTAAGTATTTATGTAAATATTAAGTATTTATTATGTAATATTAAGTATCTATTTATGTAAGTAAATACTTAAGATCAACCTTGATAAGTATGTTTTAAATTTTGTCAGCAGTGACATCCAGGCAGGTTATGGCATTCTGTAATAATTCATTCAGATAATAATTCATTTATTGAGCCTACCCCGTGTCTGGCACTATTTTAGGTGCTGAACACATAGAAATAAATAAAAGTCTTGGTCTTTATTTAGCAAGCCTTTAGTGATAATGAACAAAGAATCAGACAAAGATAAGTGATAGTAATTTAATGGAAAATTTCAAAAAATTAAAATGGAAGATTTTTAAAGGCATGTTATTTATTTGAAAGGTGGGCAGAGAGAAAGAGAAGACTTTCATCCCATGAGTCCCTCCCCCAAGTGCCCACACACCCAGGACTGGGCCAGGCTGAAATTAGCAGACAGGAATTCCATCCTGAAAAGTTTCCCAATAGCTGTTATGGGACCAGATACTTGGGCCATCATTTTGTTGCCTTGCTTATTAGCAGAGAGCTGAGCTCTCTTCTCCTTCCAGCTTCCCACCCCCTGCGTTATCTTTTTAAAATTTTGTTTTTAATATTGTTTACATAATTGAGAGGGACACACACCCATGTGGGCCTCCAGTTTGGGTGGGAAGAGTCAGGTATGGAGAAATGTAAGTGGGACAAATGTTCCACTTCTTTTTTCTCCTGTGTCCCCATGGGAGGAGAGGGAGGAGGTCTCTGCTTGCTGTCAACTATGTCAGCACCCAGGATGGAGGATGGTTCTTTGATGGCATCTTAGAGAGACCTGGATGTGGGAAAGAGTGTTCCAAGAATGTTGTTACTTGAGTGAGTCTGATAGTTCTGAGACATCATTGGCCTCTTTGCTTCAGGGTTGAGAAGATATTCCCAAGGTCTATTGGCCGACCAAGGGCACCTTAGTGCATCTAGACTCAGGAACATGCTGCAAAGCTGGGCCAGGAGAATTGTGCAATCTGTTATGCTTTCCATTCTTTCATGAGGCAGTTGATGTCCCCTGCTGGCTTAGATAAAGTAGCCATATTGTCCTCTGTGTGCAGCTGGGATGCTGTCCTGTGTACGGGCATCAGCAACTGAGGAGGTCCAGCCTCTATACATGCACTCTAAAGTCGGACCATACGGCCTGTGCTTTTCCCTTTGGCAAGTCTGAGTCTGGCAGTCTAGTTAGGGAGTACCCTACGAGACTTTGCCTGAGGTAACCTCCGACTTGACTCTTGTGTCCACCTGGCAGTGCAGGGTTAGGCTCAGTCTGCCACCTGCGCCAGCCAACATACATACTGTTGGATGCAGCTGCCTGGTCAGTTCCATCCTGGACCAATATCTCACAAGCCGGCAGGTGCTATGGCCCAGTCCAGCCAGCCTGCCACAGATCTTATCCTCAGGCATACCAGCAGGCACCATGACCTAATTGGGGTAGCCCCCAGTAATCCCCAACCCAGCCTGCCCCGAGTCCTGGTTTTTGCGTGTGCCAGCCTCTGCAGGCAATGTCTTAACCTGAGTGGCTTAAAGGAGAAGTAGAGCTGAAGGCAGAGGAAGACAGTAGAATCTTCATCTCTTTTTCAAAAAATTTTTGATATTTGATTACTTATCATTCTTGTGTCCTTGGGGCGCTGGCCTTTGTTCTCTGGGTTTCCGGGCTGTGTATGAGGGAGCGTACCTTAGCATAGATAGTGTAGCATAATGAGTGAGGAAGAGTCCTGGAGCTGGGGTCAAGTCTTCACCTACCTTTACTGGATATGTGACCTTCAGCAAATTGTGCTTCTTTCCTTATTCATAATACATCACACATAGGTGACAGAAATAAAACCCTCCCCACTGAATTGCTGCAAAGGTGGCAGAAGTTGGTATTTATAAAGCATTTGCATAGTGTCTGCGTAAGACATATGTCTGCCTCCCACACCTCACATTTAACAGACATTTGAATAAAATCCACCTTGTTAGTTTCTGTTCCTAGTTATTCTGCTGCAGCCTTTCCTTCTCAGTTTAGTCTTCAGAGTTTTGTGTTCACAGAGACTCACTTGAGGCGCTTCCCTTTTCCTACAGCTCCTCATTCTCACCCACACTCATGACAAGTGATCCTGTGTGCTGATGGCTCCTGGTTTGTACTCCTGCACCTATGCTTGTTGTTCACAGCTTTCTTCTGAGTGATATCAGCTGCCACCTGGACAGTGACACCTGAATATCCCGTAATGAGCCACACCTAACTAGAGATTGATCCAAGCCAGTTGATTGGTGTTTGGCTTGATAGTTGTGTCTGTAACAAGTAGCCATTGTGACTGCCCAGAAAGTCATAAGCTTTGTTCCACCTTTATTCATTTTTTCTTTCCTCCTTCTTATTTTTAAAAAAATTATTTATTTTTATTGGAAACTCAGATCAGATTTACAGAGAGAAAGAAAGACAGAGACAAAGAAAAAGATCTTCGTCTGCTGGTTCATTCCCCAAATGGCCACAACAGTAGGAGCTGAGCGAATCTGAAGCCAGAAGCCTGGAGCTTCTTCCTGGTTTCCCATGTGGGTGCAGGGTCCCAAGACTTTTGGGGCCATTCTCTACTGTTTTCCCAGGTCACAAGGGAGCTGGATAGGAAAGTGGAACAGCTAGGGCATAAACAGGCACTCATGGGATCCCGGTGCTTACAAGGTGAGGACTTAGCCACTGAGCCATCACACCAGGCCCACTCCATTTTTATTTTTTACAAAATCGGTTTTTTTGTTTGTTTGCTTGTTTGTTTGTTAAATTAAAGCCTGATGGTAGTAAGATTTTGGAATGGGAAAATTCTTCATGATGGAGACTCACTGAACCCTGTACCTACACCCTACTTCTGTCCATACTGATGCCTGTGGAACCCTGTAATGTCTTGTAAAGATGAGCCAAGTAGAGACCATGGCATACTTACACTTGTTGTTTCTGTTTAGAAGTAAAATATCCTACTTATTACATGCTTAAAATTCTGTAAAATTCTGACTGGGTACTCTTGGGATCCCTGAAAAATTCTTTGATTGGCAGATCAGTACTCTGGTGATATGTTTGTATTTTTATTTTCTCTCTCCCACTCGGCTTTCTAAAATCACTAAGAAAGAATTCAGACTACCAGAGTTTTCTGAAATTATCCTATGATTTCCTATGCAACACACTTACTTTAATACATTAACATTACTTTTGTTTTTTTCAGAAACAACTCAAATCATTGGTATGAGTGCAACACTAAACAATGTTGAAGATCTACAAGAGTTTCTTCAAGCGGAATATTACACCAATCAGTTTAGACCAGTATGTACCTAAGGTTTGCACTACATTATTTTGTTGAGTATTCAACTTACTTAGAAGTAAAACAAATGGGGGTTGGTATTGTGGTACAGTAGATTAAGCCTCATCTTAGGCTGCCCACATTTCATATGGCAGTGCATTGAATCAAGTCCGGGTTACTCAGTTTCGGATCCAGCTTCCTGCTAATGTCTGTGGGAGGCAGCAGGTGATGGCTCAGGTGCTTGGGTCCCTGCCATACCCTGTGGAACCTTGGAAGGATATCCTGGCTCCTAGCTCTGCCGAGATATTGTGGTGAGTGAACCGTGAATGAAAGAGTGTGTGTGTGTCTGTCTCCCTCTGCCATTCTACCTTTCAAATACATAAAACAAAATAAAAATCCATAGATAATAACAAGCACAGTATTTTGAAAACTACAGAGTAGTGAAAGGGTGTGAGTGTGTACATAGGGAATATGAACACTGTGGAGCTGTCATAATGTGACAGAGTGTCACTGCTGTGTCAGAGTGCTTGGAGCAGTGCCTAGCTTGTGAGTCCTCGGCAAACACATTATGGGTGGATTTTCAAAATCCATTCTGTTTTTTTCATTTCTTATTATTCAAAGTGAATTTTTTTAATTTGGCTAAAATTAAGCCACATTTTGAGTTATTGGCACATTAAAATTTCTCTTGAAAGTTAAAACATTTTTAGATATGTATGTTTTTGGTCGTAATATTTTTTAAAAGATTTTTTTTTTTTGAAAAATTTTTACATAGTTCATTAGGGTGATAAGGGTCAAGGGCTACAGGAAGGTGGAGGAGATCACCATTTCCACATTCTCTTTATTTCCTTCTTGTATCTGGGGAAAGTGGGGAGATAAGGAGAAAAGCCATACCCAACCTCCCAAATGTCTCTGTATCCTGGAATGGAGGACAGTCACATGACACCATCCCAGGGTCTCCGATGTGGGGCATGCTCTGTGGGTCCTGCTCAAGAGGCTTTGATAGTTCAACAGTTTTGAATTATTGCTGATCTTACCATTCCAAGCATGATGAAATCTCCCAAGAATCCACTGGTTAATCAGTCTACCTTAGAGTCACTCTGTGCCCAGATATTCACTGCCAACACTTGGCTATGATAGTTGATCAATTTGTTCTGTCCTCTACCGTATGTTATGGTACCAGGTATCCTCTGCAGGTTCCAATGTACTGTCATATCCTCCATGTGCACCTAGATATGCTATACACTGCTCCATCTAAGCCACTGAGGAGGCTTAGCTCTGATACATGCACTCCATGGTCAGACCATGGAACCTGCAATTCTCTCCATGGTTGGGGTTCTGAGTCCAGCAGTTTAGTTAGGGGGATCCCCAAAGAAACTTTGTCTAAGGTGATCACAGACCTGATTCTTGTATGGGCTTCCCAATATAGAGTCCAGCACAGTGTACTGCTCCAGTTAGCTTATAAATGTGCTGGTGATTGCAATTGCTGGGCCAGTTCTGACTCCAGCCCCAGCTTCTACACAAACCAATGGATGTTGGAGCCCATCCCGATCCTGCCCACCACACACTTGGCCCTAATGCAAACCAGTGGGAGCTGGAGCCTAGTCAGATTGACCTGTAATAACCCCAACCAGGCTTCCCCCCGTCCTTGTTCCCATGCTTGTCAGTGTGTCTGTCTGATATCCCATTCAGCCTGTCCCATATCCCATTCAGCTCTTATATATGTCAATGGGCATTGAAGCCTACTTCAACCCAACCAGCCCCACTGTCCAGCCCACACACATGCTGGTGGGTGCCACTCTCTGTCTAGTCATACCTGCCCCAGTCCTGATTCTCATACGCACCAGTGGGAGTGGCACCTAAGAGGGAGGTGCATACTGTTTCCCTACTGGACCCACTCCCACTCCTAGATCTTGCACTCTCCAGGTGGTTCGGCATTTTAACTTGACAGAATTTGTCCCTCATGCCAGCATCTGCCAACTAATGCTGTGGCAAAGCCCAGCCAACCTACACCCAGTCTGATTTATGCATGCAACAATAGAGTAGGAACGGTCAACCCAGCCTGCTTTTCCATGATCCAACTCATATGAGGCCAACAGGTATTATAGCGCTCCCAGACCTGGTCTGTCCCCAATACCAATTTTCATGCTCAGTTGTAATATATTTTTTAAAAGATTTATTTATTTTTGAGTCTGGCACAGTGGCATAGTGGCTAAAGTCCTCACCTTGAATGTGCCAGGATCCCATATGGGCAGGGCACTGGTTCTAATCCCAGCAGCCCACTTCCCATCCAGCTCTCTGCTTGTGGCCTGGGAAAGCAGTTGAGGATGGCCCAAAGTCTTAGGACCCTGCACCCATGTGGGAGATCTGGAAGTAGTTTCTGGCTCCTCTCTTTGAATTAGTGCAACTCTGGACGTTGCGGTCACTTTGGGAGTAAATCAATGAATGGAATATCTTCCTCTTTCTCTCCCCTCTTCTTTGTATATATCTGACTTTCCAATAAAAATAAATAAAAATCTTTTTGTTAATTAAAATTTACTTTTAATTAATAATTTTAATTAATAAAAGTATTTATTTAGAAATTAAAGTTTTATTTATTTTTATTAGAAAGTCAGATATACAGAGAGGAGGAGAGACAGAGAGGAAGATCTTCCATGCACTCATTCATTCCCCAAGAGACCGCAATGGCAGGAACTGAGTCAATCCAAAGCCAGGATCCTCCACGGGTCTCTCACGCAGGGCAGGGCCAGGGCTTTGGGCCATCCTTGAGTGCTTTCCCAGGCCACAAGCAGAGAGCTGGATGGGAAGCGGGGCTGCCGGGATTAGAACCGGCGCCCATATGGGATCCTGGACGTGCAAAGCCAGAAGTTTAGCTGTTAGGCTCTACCACGCTGGGCCCTCAGTTGTACAATTTTTAAGTAACACTTCTCATGAATTTAAATTTATTTTTTAAAGTATTTAGCAAACAAGAGAGAGGGTTGTGGGTAGGAGATGGTTGTACTCTCATCTGCAGTGAACAGGTAGCCATAGCTGGAAGCTAAGAATTCAATTTGAGTTATCTGTATGGGTGACAGAATCACAATCACTTGAAACATCACCACTGTCTCCCAGCATCTGCAAGGAGCTGGAATGAGGAGCTGGAGCTGGGTATTGCACGTAGGTGCTCTGATGTCGGATGAGGGCGTCTTAACTGGCATGTTAACCATTAGGCAAAACACCTGCCTTGCGTTTAAATATGAACTATTCAATAACAGTCACAAAATGCTAAAGACAGTAAACCGGAGTAATGTACATGATCTTCAAGGTAGCTTGTAATCACATAAACCATCTGTGGAAAATAATTTTTGACAATAACATTTTCATTCAAAAGTGTCTGGTTGCCTTTAGTATATGGAACTGTTCAATTCAAAAGTTTTGGGAGAGGGCATATGGCAAACCAATTAAGATGCCTCTTGGGGTACCCACATACTGTGAGTGCCTGGTTTTGAGTTCTGGCTCTGCATCTAACTTCAGTTTTCTGTTAATGTGCACCCTGGGGAGGCACTAATGATGGCTTAAGTGCTTGCATCCCTGCCACCTACTTGGGAAACCCAGATTTACTTTCAGGCTCCTGACTGGCTGGACCAGTCCCAGCTACTGCAGCATTTGGGGAGTGAATGCATAGATGGAAGATCTCTGCTTGTCTCTCTGTCTTTTTTCTTTTTTTTTTTTTTAAGATTTATTTATTTTTATTGGAAAGCCAGATATACAGAGAGGATGAGAGACAGAGAGGAAAATCTGTCCAATGGTTCACTCCCCAAATTGCCACAACGGCTGGAGCTGAGCCAATCCGAAGCTAGGAGCCAGGAGCTCTCCCGGGTCTCCCATGCGGATGCAGGGTCCCAAGGCTTTGAGCCATCCTTGACTGCTTTTCCAGGCCACAAGCAGGAAGCTGGATAGGAAGCAGGGCCGCTGGGATTAGAACCGGCAACCATATGGGTTTCCGGCGCATGCAAGGCGAGAGAGAACTCTAACCACTATGCTATCGCGCAGTGCCCCTCTCTGTCTTTCAAATAAAAAAAAGTTGTAAATATTTCTTCAAGGATATTAATCTGTATTTTGACTTTTTTGTTTCAAGATTTATTGAAAAGCAGATTTTACAGAGAGAAGGAGATAAAGAGAGATATAGATCTTCTGTCCTCTGTCCTTCATTCCCCAAGTAGCCTCAATGGTTGGAGCTGAGGTGATCTGAAGCCAGGAGTTTTTTCCAAAAATATTTTCCTCCTTTTGAAAGGCAGATTGAGAGAGACAGGCAGAAGGACACAGACCTATCTGCTGGTTCACTTCCCAAATGGCCACAACAGCTGGAGCTAGGGCTCCCCAACAGCAGGGAGCTGCTAATGTGTAAGCAAGCTGGACTTGAGCCGGCAACTGTATGGGATGGCGGCATCTTTACCCACTGTACCACTAAGTTGGCCCACTTCAGGGATATTAATCACTATTTTGATTTGACAGTGAAAAAAAAGAAAATAGTAAATGAAGAAACTTTAAATTGAAGCATGTTTACATCCCTTAAATGAAATCAAGTCCTTGTTTTCTGTTATTTTTGACAATATATTTTGTTACCCTTAAAACTCTAGAAAAAGGAGTTCATATGTGGTATTGATTACAAATATTCTTTTGTTTTAAGGTTGAATTAAAAGAATATCTGAAACTGAATGACAGCATATATGAGGTTGACAGCAAGGCTGAGAAAGGCATGACTTTTTCCCGTCTCCTTAATTACAAGGTAATGTTGATCATTTTCAATCCCAAGTTGTTGGAGTTTGTGCCAAGGTTTCCTGGGGCACCATGGAAGATTGACAAACTTACCATTGGTTGCTTCAGTGTTTGAGAGAAGCAGCTAATTCTTCCATTTTTTTGGACAGCATTAAAATAACTGGTTCAAGATTAGATGTTATCAAATTTGTATTAGATCATATCTATATTCCTTTCTCTGACATTTTATCTTTGTGAAGTGAAGGATTTATAGTCGCTATAATCAAATATCTTATAAAAAAAAAACCTACCTGTGATAGAAAAAGGTGGCTGGATCTGATATTATTCTGAAATTTGAAAAGACCTAGTTGTGTATACATGCATTAGTGAGCTGTTATGTTATTTGAGATAAACTTTTTTTTTCATTCAGTAGATATGTACTGTTATTTAGATAACTAATAAGCTGGGAGGAAGTACATATTTGTTTACTTCTTTGGACTTAACTACCTAATTAACTACCTAGTTTAAAACTACCGAATTTTAAAAACTGCTGGATATTTCTTTTGTCCTTGATGCTCTGTGAATCAAGAAAATTTGGGAAGTACTCCTATAGATGATTGTTTATTGGACAATAATATTTGTAAGTCATGCTGTCCATTGGGTAGAAAAATGTCCATGTCTAGGTTAAATGTTAATACTTTATGATTTAAATAAAGAATGTTAAAAAGAGGAGGTGCAGCATTTGGCCTACTGTTTAAATGCCCATACCTTTGGGCCAGTGTTATGGCACTGCATGTTAAGCCATTGCTTGCAATGGTGGCAACTCATATGAGTGCCATACAGCTCCTTGCTACTGTACCTGGGAAAACAGTAGAAGGCCCAATTGTTTGGGTTCCTGAACGCACATGGATGAGCACATGGAGTCCTGGATGAAGCTCCTGGCTTCAGCTTGGCCTAGTCCTGACCATTGTAGCCATTTGGGAAGGTAACAGGCGATGCAAGGTCACTCTCTTTTTGAGTAGCTCTGAGACCTTTTGAATAAATATATAATATATATGTATAAGTAATATAAATAAATAAATAAATAAAATATATTTTTTATGCCTACATTCCATACAGAATTACCTTGGTTTGATACCTAGCTGTGGCTCCAGTTTCCTACTAATGTAGACCTTGGAAGGCAGCTATGATAGCTTGAGTAGTTGGGTTCCTGCCACCCATATCAGAGTACTGAATGGATTTCACCAATTCCTAGCTTTGGCCTGAGTGAGTTCCTACTGCTAGGAGCTCTTTTCTCTATTCCTCTCTCTCTGCTTCTCATACACACACATACACACACAAACACACACTCTCTTTCTCTTTTTGGGAAGGGGACCAGACATTTAGTATATTAGTCAAGATGTTGCTTGGAATACCCTCATTCCATAGTGGAGTGCCACACTTCAATGCTTGCTTCCCTCCTGATTCCAGCTCCGTGTTAATGTATCCGGTGGCAGCCAGCAGGTCGTGATGACTCACACAGCAGAGTCGTCGTCACTGTCCACGGGGAGATCTGCATTGAGTTCCCCATTCCTGGCTTCAGCCTGACCCAGTCCCAGCCACTGAGCTTGTGAGGGAGGGACCTAACAAAATGGAAAATCTCTTTTTGTCTGTCAGTTTCTGTCTTTGCATATAATGATAAATAAAAACGTAATAATAATAAGGGGAAAATAAATTTTACAGTAGTTCTGGAATTCTATGAAGACATGATATTCTAAATCTGTCTTAATTCGTTTTCAATAGTTGAAGGAATTAGGGAGACGTTGCATTTTCTTTTTTATGTTGAGTCCCTTATGCTTACTTTGTGTTGCAAAAATTTTTTAGCTCACAGCTAAATATTTCTGAGAAATGTGTCCTTTACTTTGATTGAACCTATTTTTTTAAGCCATTAGCAGTAGTAAAAGATGTATTTTATTTATGCAATCTTTTGGCCATTAGGGGGTCTAGTTTGTTTTTCTCTGTGTGCCTTTTTGTTCTGCTCTATTGGAGATGAGCATGTAGTGAGGTTATTAATAATGTTGTTTTCACTTCTTTAATTTTCTTTCATTTTTTTAAACACTAAATATGCCTAGCAACACCTTATCAACCTAAAAGTGAGATTTAACATTTTGATGTTTAATGTAAGTTTTGTCTTCTTTTTAAAAAAAAAATCTAATTAATCGCTTCTCGGCCTTTTGGCTAAGATCAAGTGTAAAAAAAAATCTAATTAAATAAGAGTTGATGATTTTAGATGATTTTCTTCTAATCACATTGATACAATCTTGGCAGGTTTTTGTGGTGACTAACCCAACTGTCTTATTCCTGCTTATTGTTTTGCAGTACTCTGACGCTCTGAAAAAGATGGATCCTGACCACTTAGTGGCATTAGTGACAGAAGTGATTCCCAAATATTCCTGCTTAGTCTTCTGCCCCACAAAGAAGAACTGTGAAAACGTAGCAGAAATGATATGCAAATTTTTAAGCAAGTATGCTGATCTTCTAAGAATATTGTCCTCTCTTATTTTTGCCATGAATTATAGGCTGTGAATTCTTTTCATTGAATGAACACTATTTACTTATTAGAGATATTATGTTAAGTGATCGTGCTAAAAACTAAAGAGCTTGACCTTGAAAAGCCTATTTAATTGCAAAATTCACATGTAGTGGCTTAAGCCAGGCAGTGAAAGACAGATATTACTACATGATCTCATTCTTATGTGGAATCTTTAATAAAACTATGGACATGGAGAGGAGAATGGTGTTTACCAGAGTCTGGGGAGGTGAGAAGAGAGGGAGGATTGGGGAGAGGTGAAGTGAAGGGTACCAAGTTCTAGTTAGGGAGGAGAAAGAGATTTGGATACTCTGTTGCCCTGTGGTGTTACTGTGGATGATGCAGATGTTTTCTTTCTCTCTCCCCCATGTTCAAAATACTAGATATTTGAGGAGATAGATATGTAACTCGGATTTGAGCATTGTACAGCATGTACATATATGGAAACATCGCCAAATGCTATGTAAGCATGCGCAATTTTTATGTATCAGTTAACAAATATTTTTAAATTTGTATGTGGAAAGGAGAGAGAAAACTTCTAATGTTCCATGTAAAAGAATGCTAACATGGCTTAGAGCAAAGATTTAAATCTTAGCTGCACAGTGAAACATTTCAGGGCTTTTAAAATCACATCATGCATGCAGACTGCATCGTAATCAAATCAAAACTTCTGGGAGTAGGACTCAAGCATCATTTTGCAAATCTCTCTACGCAAGTCCAAGTTATAGCCAAGAAGCACTGACTCCAATAACCAAAAGACTAATAAATGCAACTACTTGTTAATTGCATACTGTTTTGTTTTGTTTTAAGCTCAGGGTGACACAGAGAGAGGCAGAGAAAGAGATCTGCCATCTATTGGTTTATTTTACAAATGGCACAATTGCTGGGCTCTGAGCTGGCCAAAGCCAAGAGTTTAGATTTCTTTTTTTTTTTTTTAAGATTTATTCATGTTTTGCAAAATCAGATATACAGAGAGGAGGAGAGACAGAGAGGAAGATCGTCCATCCGATGATTCACTCCCCAAGTGACCTCAATGGCTGGTACTGCGCCAGTCCGAAGCCAGGAGCCAGGAACTTCTTCCAGGCCTCCCATGCGGGTGCAGGATCACAAAGCTTTGGGCTGTTCTTCACTGCTTTCCCACGCCACAAGCAGGGAGCTGGATGGGAAGCAGGGCCGCCGGGATTAGAACTAGTGCCCATATAGGATCCTGGCACATTCAAGGCGAGGACTTTAGCTGCTAGGCTACCGTGCTGGGCCTGAGAGGAGTTTAGAATTCTATCTGGGTCTCCCATGTGGGTGGAAGGGGCCATGTACTTATACCATCATCTGCTGGCTTCCCCAGGCACAATAAAAGAAAATTAGACCAGAAGTGGAACAGCTGGGACTTGAACCAGCCTTCGCATGTAGGATGCTGGCATCTCAGACAGTAGCTTAGCTTGCTGTACCACAAAACTGGTGCCTGCTGTTTTTTTTAAGTAGCATTCACACTAAGTTGTGTGGGCATTTGAATTTCATTTCCTAAGTAATTAAGAATGTATCTGTTTGGAATTTTATGTATCTGATATTGGCGTTATCATATTTAGAGATACGTATGAAGTGACTTTAAGCTTGAGCAATTCTTTTTTTCACCTAATTGTCCCAGGTGTGGTTTTAACACTTTCCCAGGCTGCTTTTTGGTCTCTTATCTAGGATTATATCACTGACTGTTAGCTGGGGTCCTAGTCATCCACCTGCTTCCATCCCAGTCTTGTCATGCTAAAGCGCAGACATTTGGCCTACCTGTTAAGACACCTGCATCCCACAACAGCATGAGTACTTGCATCTGAGGAAACCTAGCCCACTTGCTGACTCTGGCAGACTCTGGGAGGCAGTGGTAATGGTTCGAGTACTTGGGTTCCTGCCACCCCTGTGGGAGACCTTGATTGAATTCCTGATTCTGGGCTTCATCTTAACTCAGCCCAGAAGACATTTGGAAAGTGAAGTAGCAGATGAGAGCTCTCTTGAGTATGTGCTTTTTTTCTCTCTTGTCTGCCTGTGCAATAAGTAAATAAAATGGAAAAAACAGGGGAGGCATTTGGCACAGTGGTGGGATGCCCACATCCTATTTGGGAATGCCTGAGTTCAAGTCCAACTCCTCTTCTGCTTCCAGCTTCCTGGAAGAAAACAGGTGAAGTATCAGTAGGTCCGTGCCACCCACATGGGAGACCTGGATTCAGTTCCTGGCTTCTGCCTTTGCCACGCCCCAGCCCGGTAACATTTGGGAGTCAGCCGGCAGATGGAAGAGCTCTGTTTATGTCAGTCTCTCTCTCTGCCTTTCAAATAAAGAAATGAGTTTTTTTTTTTTTAAATGGAGTTAAAATTATTGAGCAGTGCAAAGATACAGGGGTTTGAGATAAGATCAAAGAATTGCTCATCTGGTAATTGCTCATCTGCCTTTAGTGTGATAATTTTTATTATAGATCTTAATGAAATTATTGAAATTTTCTAAGTAGCTCATTTTTCTAAGAATATTTGAAGGCAATAAGACATGAAGTGGCTAAGTAATAGAACATTATGGAATGTGATTGTGGTTTCCAAAGCACTGATGTTTAGACTTAAAATATGTGTTTTACCTTATAACAAATGAGTTAACAACACACATGTGTTTCCATTTTCAGAGAGGAAAATTTATGCCTTAAAACCATTTTGTAAATGAATTTATGTGGTAGAGAATAAACAGTCATCTAACAGCTGGAGCAAGTGTCTAAACGTAGGGCCATGGAGTCCTGCGAAGTACAGGAGTGGACTTCACAAAGACCACAATCCCTCTGAAATAAAAGGCACAGGTGGTGTTGATGTGAATACTTACACTTTTCCTTAGCTCTGATCAGGTTTTCTCAGGGTTCTTTGATCTGCAAAAAGAATGAGAGACAACCTAAAAACTTACGAAGTTGGAATCAATTCTAAGAACATTTTATACACCTATCTCAATTAAAATAGTACTTAAAAAAAAAAACGTGTCCATGGATCTACTACTAATGAGATGAGAATGATCAAGACTTTGTCAGGTGAAGGGCTCACCCCTCCAGTGGATCTTTTTCTTAGGGAATATCTGAAGCACAAGGAGAAAGAAAAAGAAGATGTGATTAAGAACTTGAAGAATATGAGCAGTGGCAAACTGTGTCCAGTTTTGAAGCGCACGGTGCCTTTTGGCGTCGCCTACCACCACAGTGGCCTGACCAGCGAGGAGAGGAGGCTGCTGGAGGAGGCCTATTCCTCAGGCATCCTCTGCCTGTTTACCTGCACGTCCACCCTGGCAGCCGGGGTCAACCTGCCGGCCCGAAGGTAAGAGACGGCGCACTCTTGGACAGGCGTCCAACCTTTATTCCTGGCTAGCAAGGAATGCTGTTGGGGTTTTACTCTTGTCTAAGCGGTAGGTGAGAATTGATCAGATTTTTTTTCCAGTAGCTTCTGAGAATTTTATTTCCCTTTTTTTCTTTAATTTTCTTTTTTTAAAGATTTATTTATTTTTATTGGAAAGCCAGATATACAGAGAGGAGGAGAGACAGAGAGGAAAATCTTCCATCCATTGGTTTACTCCCCAAGTGGCCGCAATGGCTGGAACTGAGCCGATCTGAAGCCAGGAGCCAAGAGCCTCTCCTGGGTTTCCCACACAGGAGTAGGGTCCCAAAGCTTTGGGCCGTCATTGACTGCTTTCCCAGGCCATAGGCAGGGAGCTGGATGAGAAGCGGGGATGTTGGGATTAGAACCGGCTGCCCGTATGGGATCCTGGCGTGTTCAAAGGGAGGACTTTAACCACTATGCTATTGTGTTGGGCCCTGTTTTCTTTAATGTTTAATGAAAAATAGTGTTGGTGAATTTCTTGGTGTTAGAATTCTTTCCCTTTTTTTTGTTGTTGTTGTTGTTAGAATTTCTTTGAATTTTATTTGGAAGACAGAGAAAGACCTTTTCTATCCTCTGGAAGAAGCCTGCAGCAGCTGGGGTGCGGGGCAAGGCTGAAGCCAGAAGCTGGGAACTCCAGTCAGTTCCCCCACTGGGTGGCAGGACTTGACCAGCGGAGCCATCAGCACTGACTCCCAGGGGCCACATTTTCAGGAAGCCTGGGGATTGATCCTAGGCTCTCAGGGAATGCAAGTGTCTCCAACAACTTCTAACTACTATACCAAAAGCCCACTGCCAATCTGGTTTAACGTTCGGATTTATTATCATGGTTGTGTAGAAATTATCAGTATACTTCTCACCACTCTAAAGAGTGTGTTTATGGATCTGTGTAGTTCATTGAGTTAAACCACTGATTCACACGGCCAGCATCTCCTATTGGCGCTGGCTTCAGTCCTGATTCTCTGCTTGGGTTCTAGACTCACTGCTAATGAGCCCGGGAAAGCAGCGGAAGCACACCTGTGGGAGGTGTGTGACGCTGCAGTTCCTGGCTTCGGCCTGGCCCAGGACCATCCAGTGTGACCATTTGGGGAGTGAACTTAGCGAATGCAAGGCTCTCTCTGTAATTATGAGTTTCAAATAAGTAAATCTTTTTTTTAAGCCAATCTTCTTAAAAAAGGTGTCTAACATAAGAATTGTGTTGAAACTTTGCAGAACAGCCCGGCAAAGTCATTTGAGTCTATTAGCTTTTTTTAGTGCAAACCTTTGATGGCCTTTTCAGATGTTACCAAAGTTGTATAACTTGTATACAAAGTCAGTATAACTGACCTCTGCTGTTTGTAATTTGTGCCTGTGGTTATTAAATGGTCAATTTTTAGAAATCTTCCATGAGGGTGAAAATAGAACAGTATTTCAAAAAGTGCATGGGAGAATGAATTTATTTCTCTCTAGGAATATTTAAACTTTTCTCATTAATGTTAAAATTCCATCACGATGTGTAAACAAACTGATTTCAGTTGTTGTATTTTTCCTACTCTTCAGGAAAAAAATAGCTGTGAATACATAGATTTATTCACTTTTCAGAATTCCTTTGCAAGGAAGTCCTATGTTACTGCTTAAACTTTATGGAAGGGAAAACTGAGACATGGTACAGTTAAGTAACTTAGTCGACTTCACATCCAAAAGATGAGTTCCAAAGGCAAGGTTTGAACCCAGAAGTCTAATTCTACAATTCCAACTCATAGTTTTGTGATTTTTAAAATCCATAGTGGAGTCTTTCATTTAATGCTTTATACTTTTCTTTAATCTTACAGTATTTTTTTTCTGTGATTTCAACAATTATTTCTTTCCTCCAATTCTCTGTTTTCTGCAATTGTGGTCTCAGTTATGATTGAAGACTTCAAAATCGAGTCTTCTCACATATCTTTTCTTTCATACTTTAAAATCTATTTGAACTATATGATTTCTTAACTTTATATTCCACATAACAAAATCTATTTTTAACTATAGCTATTTACTATGTTCATATATTATTAATTTCTTCTGTTGCATTTTGGATGAGGTATTTTTTAATTTCCCAGATTTGTTTTTTTATATATAGTCTGCCTTTATATTATGAAGTGAATCGTATAGAATTTTAAGATTTATTTATTTTATTGGAAAGTCAGAATTATAGAGAAAAGGAAGAGAAGACAGAGATAGAGAACTTCAGATTTTTGGTTCGTTCCCCAAATGGCTACAACATGCTGTGGTAAGGCCAGGTTGAGCCAGGAGCTATTTCCAGGTCTCCCACAAGGGTGCAGGCGCCCAAGAACTTTAGTCCCTTCCATTGCTTTCCCAGGCATATTAGTGGGGAGCTAGACTGGCAGTGGAGCAGCCAGGACTCAAATCAGTGCCCTTATGAAATGCCAGTGTCACAGGTGGCAGCTTAACCCAGCAAATCATAGTACTGGCCCCTGTAATTTTCTATAGATGCTAATTAGAACTTTCTATTTGGTTTTTCTGAATTGTCTGTTTTCTTCATTCATTTAGTCTATATATTCTTGTCTTTCTTTTATTATGTTTTTTTTTCAAGTGTTTGCTCGTACTACTGAGATTTATAAATAAAGGAGTCTATTGATTATAATAGAAAAGTGACAGGATTTGTCTTGCCTTTGGGCAGGAAAGTTGACTACAAAGTTGTATATACATACTGAAGATGGAAATCATCCTTTTTGTAGGTCAAAAACAGCTCAAATTTACAGTGTTACATAGTTTAAAATAATGTGAATCCATAAATAATATAAAATTCTGTATAATATAAATACATAAATATGCGTAACTTGATACATGGTCATATTTTTCATTTTATATCCTTGTTGTAGATTAATAGGCTTTGTAACCATTCAGACTGTATTTGGGGTTAGCTACTTTTTTGAAAGATTCAGTTACCTCCTTTGTAAAAATGAGTAAATAAACTAAAAAGGATATTTATATTTTTTTCTAAGAGTCTTGTAAGAGACGCAGTTGCTGCAGATAAAGAACTCCTGTATCATGGATTTTTGGGAACTAGTAGTTACCTACTATTTTGAGTTGGCATACCATTAAATTCAATAGCACATAGATGTAATGAAAATAAACATTTTAAAATAGGTGCTATTACCATAAATGACATATCACTGAATTCACTTTATCAATCCCATAGGGTTATTTTAAGAGCTCCCTATGTTGCTAAGGAATTTCTAAAGAGAAATCAATATAAACAGATGATTGGAAGAGCTGGCCGTGCTGGAATAGACACTGTTGGAGAGAGTATCCTTATCTTTCAAGAAAAAGATAAGGAACAGGTAATAATCTGGCTGGTTGCTGGATTTTCCTTTTTGTTTTTTTCTTTATCTTTTGTTCTAATCCTTTTATGAAATCATCTTTAAAATTATTAATGTTCCTTTAAATCACACTTTATTCTTCTATATAATTAAGAATGACGGAAATTTGCATATTTTAATATCTCAGACACTGATCAAGGGTTTTCACTGTTTGCCTGTCTTCCTTTTTTTGTGAGGATATCTGTTAAATTGTTATTCTTTTGTCTCTTTATTTTTTATCTCTCCCTGACTCCATAGGATTGATATAAGGCATAAAATCTACATGAAGCACTGGTCTGTTTGGTATTTTTATAATAATATGAAGTATACTGTTGTGTTAACTTTTGCAGGTGTTGGAGTTAATAAACAGACCCCTGGAAAACTGTTACAGCCATCTTGTTCAGGAATTCACAAAAGGAATACAAACTTTGTTTCTGTCTTTGATTGGCTTGAAGGTATTTTGTAATTATTTTTCAGTTTTACTATACTTACCTGAAATTGAAATAAGAGGTTGAAAAGCTAAGTAAGGTGTAAAAAAGAAATGTTACCTTGTAGTGTGGAAAGCAACAACTTGCAACAATACCAATCTGAATCTGACTTAAAGGTGAGTTGTCAGTCCTTTTGAAGAGAAGTCAGCAAATGTTAACTGGCATCCATCACAGAGAAGAGAACTTGGTTGATATTTGGGGGTACTAGGAACTAAAATGATGTTGGTCCTGACATGGTGCAGTCTGCCACTTTCCCTGTATGGGGAGTGAGGTGCATCTGTAGTCCTATGATAACTCTAGGTTATTATAAACATTTGGGAGTTTGGTACAGACATTATCTGGAAGGGGGCATAAAATAGAAACTAGTATAGTTAACTTAGTGAACTAGGACTACTAAAATGCTTAAAGGGAAATTTTAACTTTAAATGCTTATTAGAATACCAGAGAGATCCTGCATCAATGCTCTAAGTTTTACCTTAAGAAACTTAAAATAAGTAATAAGTTAAATTCAAAGTAAGTAGAAGGAAGGAAATACAGAATGTATAGTGTTCTCTGAAGTGCTTGGGGTTTGAAAAAATGCATTTCTGCAGACTTTACCAGTTGGGCATCCTTTCTGGGCATTTCAGATTTTAGATTTTAGGATTAGAGAAGACAGACAAAAGATTAGTACATCTACAAGATGACTGAAAAGATCAGATTGTTGACTAGGTTGATGAGGAGAAGATGAAGGAACACAAACTACCAGTTTAAGGAATAAAAGAAGAATTACCTTTAAGCATCCTGGAGACATTAGAGATTATTATTCTTTAAAATTATTTTTATTATTTTCTTTGATGCAGTTTTGTAGGTGTAGGGATTCTACCCTTTCCCTCCTTTTTCTCTCTCCCCTGGGTCCCCTCTCACCACTTTCCCTCAAATTATTACAATAGTTTAGTCCTTGTGTAACAGTTACGAGATTAACTAGACCTTTGCACACTAAATGGTGTTGGTGAACGCAGATGTAAAAATACATCATGGAGTGGAGCTTTGTCCCAGCATTTATGGATACCACTTAAGATGCCAGCATACCCTGTTCTCAAGTTCCTGCTCCTCTACTTCCAACCCAGCTTCCCAGTGGCACACCTTGGGAGACAGCAAATGATAGCCCAAGTACTGGAATCTTAGCCACCCACTTGAAAGACTCACATTCAGCTATAGTAACCTGGTTGCAGCTTGGCCTATACTGGCTGTTGGAGGCATTTTTGATGAACCAGTGCATTGAAGCTCTCTGCCTCTTACTCTTTTTGTCTTACACATAAAATGAAAAGAAGTATGTTTTATTTTTTTTAAATAGAACATCATTATCAAAGTTTTAGCAGTCCAGGCATAGACATTTGGTGTGGCAGTTAGGATACCAGTTGAAATGGCTGCATCTTTATGTCTTGGGTTGATGCTTTGTGCTGGTGCCTGACTTCAGTTTCCTGCTGATGCAAACTCTGGGAGGCACTGTCTAAAGTGATTAGATCTTTATATATGAAGGTCTGGACCGGGTTCCTGGCTTCTGGCTTTAACCATAGCCCAACCCCAGCTATTTGGGATGCTTGGAAAGTGAGATGATGTATGGGAAAGCTCTCTCTCCAACCCCACATCCCATCTCTCAAGCAAGTTAAAAAATTTTAATTAAAATTTAGTAATACAATAATACATTTTAGGAGCAATGTAGCATAATCAGTCAAGGTTTACTCCTGTAATGAAAAATTAGTTAAACATTCAAAATATAGTGAGCACAGTTCTTCATATTGACAATTCAGCAGCATCACAAAAATTCAGCAATGTAAGAGAGATTCTTTTACTTGATAAAGGGTATTTATTAAAAACCTAAAAGAAATTCACAACTAATGATGAAAAACTAAATATTCTTCCAACTTCAGAAAAAGCAAGGATATCTATTCTCACCAGCCAGTTCAATGTGTGTCAGAGGTTGTAACTAACACAACAACACACCAGGAAGAAAAGTGAAGGCAGGAAAGGAAGAAGTAAAGCTGTCTTATGAGCTTCTGATGCAGAGCTCACGAAAAATGCAAAGAACTATCCAGAAACTATTAAAGCGTACTTAACAGCACACAGGATACAGAACCAGCATACAAAACCCAATCGTATATTTTTATATACTCACTACAAATAACTGGAAGAATAACTCCAGTGATAGTGCTTTCAAAAAATAGGAAATACTTTGGGATGAATTTAACCAAATATGTGTCAAGTCTACACCCTGGAAAATGGTAAAAACACTTCTGTGAAAAATTAAAGACCTAAATAGATGGAGCAGGATCTCATGTTCATGAACTGGAAGGATGTCACTGCTTCCTACATCAGTCTATAAATTCAATGTAAAGCAAAAGTATAGAGTTCTTCCAAAAGAATAGCCAAGAGATACACACTACTGGATTTCCAGATTTATTGTACAGCTTCTTTAACCAAGACAATGTGATATGTGAAGTCTCATGGCTCTTAGGGTGAAGTCCAAATTCCTCTGCATCGCTGACTGTGGAAGAGGAGGCTGTGCCTCTCAATCATGCCCGGCTGTCTCCTGCCCTCTCACACTCCCCACATACTGGCCTGTTAATGTTGTTCATTTCTCAAACACCAGAACCCAGTGCTCTCTAAGCCTGGCACACACCTGTCTTTCTCCTCCAGTCCAGCTTCACTCTCCTAGCCTGCCCTGTAGCCCAGTTCACACTCAGATTTTAGTTGAACCATGTGCTTTCTACTGGAAGCTTCCCCCAAGCCTCCGAGTCCATCCTACTGCTGTGTGCTGTGTAAATCACATTTCCTCTCTTTCAGCGCCAATCGGTGCTTGTTGTTAGTACACTTGCATGGCTAATGCCACCCTTCCGGAGTGTAAGCCCCCAGTAGCAGAGTCCATGTTTGCCTTATGGATTGCGGAGTTCCATGGCCTTGTTGTTTGGCATATACTTTAGCACTTAGAAAATGTTTGAATTAGTGGAACTGGCTGTAGAGTCAAACGTGGATGCCCTTTCAGGTTGGGGCATCAATGGAGAGCTTGACTGAGAAAAGCTGTAAACACGAGAGACAGGCTGACCCAGTGGATTGAAATTACTCTGTCAAACTTTTTCAAAGAGGAAGATGTGGAAGACAACATGATGATAGGTAGAAAAAGCAAATGAAGTCTTCCCCTCCCCAAATTTGACACCCACTGCATAATTGTAATCAGATGGAAAACAATACAGAAACTGATTATGTTAGTTACCCACAAACTATCTGTTCTTAGATATCGTGAAAGTGTGATTTTAGTTTAATCGAAGTTACTGAGAATTACTCTTTTTAAGATTTATTTATTTATGTATGTATTTATTTATTTATTTATTTGCACTGCCAATACTGTAGGCAGTGGCTTTTTCTCACCACGCCATTGCATCAGAGCAGAGAAGTATTTTTATTAAAAAAGAGAAGCAATAGCAAATGAGTATGCCTCACAGTATGTTTTTTATTAACCCTTGTACTGGTTTAATGTGAAATAATTAACTATGAGTTTCTATTGAAGTATCATCAGAATTACAAGATACACTTATTGACTATTTTAATATAGCATGATTTCATTAAAACTATTTAATGAAAGAGTTCATAAATCAGAGTCAACTGTACCTCTGAACATCAGATGGAGGGTTGAATGATGGAGCACTGGCAGGGAGCTGGATCCGAAGTGGAGCAGCCAAGACTCAAACTGGGGCCTTGTGTGGGCTGCTGGCACTGCAGGTAGCTGCTTTACTGGCTGTACCACTGCACTGACCCCTCTTTTGATTTCAATACAGCATTTGGGGATGAATTATGCTTTCTCAGGTCAATAGAAAAGAGTGAAGCGAGGATTCCTGAAGGAGGGGGAGTGGGAATTGCTAAAAACTGTCTGAGGAATAAACAGACTACAGCTTTGCAGATAATGTGAGGCATTGTTTAAAATCACTGGGATTTTGAATGAGAAGTATGTGCTTGTTTCCATGAAAAGGATCAATAGGTTACCTATCGCCCCCTCAAGTTGATTTTTCTCTTCTGAACTTTAAAATAGTACCATAGAATTCTCTCAGATTTTACAGTAACTTCCCTTTTATTTTTTTTTTCCTTTATTGATTACATTGTATTATGAGACATTGTTCTGTAGGTATTGGGATTCCCCCTTCCTCCCCCAATCCTCCCACCATGGTGGATACCTCCACCTTGTTGTGTAACCACATTTTAAGTTCAGTTGAGATTTCCTCACTGCGAGCATATACCAAGCATAGAGTCCAGTGTCTTATTGTCCAGATAAGTTCAATGTCTTCTTTGGGAGACCTCTGTGGTCTGAAGGTAGGGCCAAAAGAGTAAAATCCCGATCAATTAAAAGTCCCATCGGCCCCATAATATAACATTATGGAACCAATTGACCTAGCGCTGAGTAAACAGTATGTTAGAATTGCATGTAAGCTCTTAACCACATCCTCGACCATTTCAATGACTTTTTGACAATTGAGGTGCCATACTGCTTTGGGTGGGGTATGCAGAGAAATCCTTCATACCTGGGTGAGGAGTACTTGTTCTTTGTGTTCTACCTGGTTATCTATTCCAATGTGTGTGTGTGTGTGTGTGTGTGTGTGTGTTTGGGGGGGGGGGTGTTCTGGAGCGACCCTGTTGGTCATTGCAGAGGGTGGGGACCCCGAGCTGGAGCTTAGGACCAGAGAAAGCTCCTCTCCCTTGTCCCAAAGAAAGTTTACTGTTCTTCTTATTCTGAGGATCACCCAGGGCTCCTGGCTGTTGCTCCTGTATCCAATGAGGAAGGATTCGGGTTTCTTCCATCCCATGCAGATGTCCAAGAAAAAAGCGGGAGGGATGTCCTCCGAGTTCTCGGTCTCCGAAGGCATTCCAGTTCCCCATGGTCTCCTTGGCCGTTGTGATGCAGTCCTTGGTGCCTGTTCTGATAGTCCTTGTTGGGAATCCAGGAGTTTCCAGGGATGGGATACAAGCCTACTCCTGTCCTACCGCTCCGCTCTGGGGCTCCCCCCAATTCTGTGCAAGTGACCTCCTGTTGATAGATTATTAGGGTTGCTCATGATAACCCCCTGTATGTCTTTGTAGTTTTTACCATTGTCTAATGCTGTTCTGAATCTATTGTCTATAAGTTGCTTGTGGTATTGCCGATAGGTTTCACTACACGGCTTCCTCACACATTCAAAGGAGATGGAAGATTTCTCTGCATTCCGGCCCCATTTCTAAGAATAACTTCCCTTTTAAAAAAAATTTAAAATTAATTTAATTTTTTAAAAATAATGATTACATGTTTGATCTGGGTGGGAAGGATCAAGGTTTAGGGAAAAACCAGTGAATTCATTGCTTCCGAATTTGCTATTTATTCTTGTTCCTGGGGGAAGGGGAGAGACAAAGGGAGAAACCACTCGTGACTTTCCACACGTCCCAGTACCCAGTGATGAGGAATCGCCACCTCATATCAACCTGGAGTCTCAATGTGTACCTATTCCGAGGCTTCTGTCCAGGTGGTTTGGATAGTTCTGAAATGCTCCAATTTCACTGATTTGAGGTTGATGTCACCCTCCCCATGTCCATTGGCTCCATTCACTGAGATTTTTTTGCTTTCATTGTTTGGAGTTGTTGTCCAGTTAGTTCTGTTCTGCTACAGCACCAAATGTGCGGCCATATTCTCCTTTTACATCAGGGCCTGTGTCCACTGCTCCACGTTTTTCATTAAGTAGGGCATGTTCTTGCAGGCTAAAGTGCCTGGGCCAAGAGACCCACACCCCGCCAGATCCCCCACCCCTGGGGCTCATAAACCTGACATCCACCTCACAGGTAGGCCCCTAGGCCAGGCAACCTGAGCCCCACAGAATCTCCCACCCCTAGGGCTTGTGAACCCAGAACCCACCTAATAGGCGGGCCCTGGGACTGAGTCCAGGAGACCCAAGCCCCGCCATATCCCCCACCCCCAGATTCACAAAACCAACACCCACCTGGAAGGCAGGCCCCAATGAGTCGTTTTGATCAATGTGCAGAGTGGAACCTTGAGTTAAGGAAAGTGTACCAATGGTGTCCTGAACTGTTTCAGATTGCAACAAACCTTGGCGACATCCATGACTTCATGAATGGTACATTTTTTGGCATTCAGCAGAATGTTTTATTGAAAGAAAAGAGTCTTTGGGAAATAACTGTGGAGTCCCTGAGCTACCTGACAGAAAAAGGGCTCCTGCAGAAAGAAATGGTCGCCACATCAGAAGAAGAGCACCAGTGTAATTTTCACATTACGAAACTTGGACGAGCATCTTTTAAGGGTAAGAGTTTACCTGAATCTCATTATTTGTGAAAATGCATTGAAAAAGTGGCAGTTAAACAATTCTCTTTGTTTAAGTCAGATTTGTAATTTCAGGTCAGTGAAATTGATCTTTAAATTGATAAAATGCTTCAACTTTTGAACTTTGGGAACTGCTTTGCATTCTCACTAATTACAATACTGCATTAGTATGTGGAAATGAAGATGACCCTCCCTGTTTTCCCTGCTGGTCCCTGACAGCCACGCAGATCTTCAGATTCTACACCAGCAGTAGCTGAATGTCTGTCTTGTCAGCCCTTTTCTGTATATTTCACTTTAATGCATAATAGGGCAAACATACAAGTTTTAAATAGTCATTTCTTTTATTTGATTTTTTTTTTGGCTTAGTATAATAACTCAGTCAGTGAATAGGGTCTTAATGGCTACATGCTCATTACCCAATAAAAACTAATACCTGTTTGTTATTTATAAAAGATTCTATGGGCCCGTTGTGGTAGCCTAGTGGCTAAAGTCCTTGCCATGTGCCTGCCAGGATCCCATATGAGCACCGGTTCTAATCCAGCAGCTCTACGTCCCATCCAGCTCTCTGCTTGTGGCCTGCAAAAGCAGCAGAAGATGGCCCAAAGCTTGGGACCCTGCACCAACTTGGGAGACCTGGAATAATCTCCAGGCTCCTGGCTTCGGATTGGCTCAGCTCTGGCCATTGCGGCCATCTGAGAAGTGAGTCAGCAGATGGAAAATCCTCTCTAGCTCTGCTCCCCTCTATACATCTGACTTTTCAATAAAAATTAACGAAATCTTTAAAAAAAATTATGAACTCAGGACCATGTTAAAGGAAGGATCATATACTTTTGTTCAGTTTCTACCGTCTCTGGGACTTAAACTGCCAACAGTTTTATGAATACCCTTCCAAATATCTAAGCACATAGCTATGTGTGTTTGTGTATGCACAGCATCATTCATACATATATGTGTATGATGTGTCTGTGCAGATAACTGATTTTTTTTTAAAGATTTATTTTTATTATTTTTTCATTGGAAAGGCGGATATACAGAGAGGAGAGACAGAGAGGAAGATCTTCCATCCGATGATTCACTCCCCAAGTGAGCGCAATGGGCCGATACTATGCCGATCCGAAGCCAGGAGCCTCTTCCGGGTCTCCCACGCGGGTGCAGGTTCCCAAAGCTTTGGGCCGTCCTCGACTGCCTTCCCGGGCCACAGGCAGGGAGCTGGAAGGGAAGCGGAGCTGCCGGGATTAGAACCGGCGCCCATATGGGATCCCGGGCGTGCAAGGCGAGGACCTTTAACCACTTGCGCCACCGCTCCGGGCCCAGATAACTGATTTTTTAAGGGGATCGTGGTATAAATAGTTTTTGCAATTTGCTTTTCCCAGTTATGAAGTATCATGAACATTTTAACAGATAAATATCTTTGAATCTCATTTATTTTCCAAGAGTACGGATGTAATACTATTTAGCAATTTTCTTATTTATGATCATTTGCATTGTTTATCATTTTTCTCAGTTATAAACAAGGCTATGTGAATATCTCTGCTTGTGGAAATTTTTCTCTAGATTAGCTTCCCAAAAATTGCATAGTTGGATCAGAAGGTATATCCTTATTAAATATCAACACATACTAGGGGTCAGCAAAAAGTGGAAATAGGTATTTTGAAACATGAGTGTCAAAAAATTGTGCCAAAATTTGTATTCTAGTTCAATTTTTCCATGAAAAAGTATCCTTATAATTGCAAAATGACATCCTAAAAAGTTACATAAGAGAATACCTAATAGATCTGAAGACTGCTTTATTTGAGTAACTTCTTAATTTTATGTTTTAAAAATTGATTGATTGACTTGAAAAACAGAGTTGCAAAGAAAGAGATCTTCTATCCACTGGGTCACTCCCCAGATGGCTGCAGTGGCCATATCTGGGCCAGGCTGTAGTAGCCTGGAGCCAGGAGCTTCATTCAGGTGCCTATATGGCTAGCAGGGTTCCAAACACTTGCGCCTTCTACTGGTTTCCCCAGACCATGATCATGAAGCTGAATGGGAAGCAGAAAAGCCAGGCATGAGGCAGTACTCATATGGGATGTCAGTATCACAGGTGCAGACCTTACTAGCTAAAACACACACACACACACACACACACACACACACACACACACACACACACACACACACACACACACACACACACACACACACACACACACACACACACGTTTACCCGCCAAATGACCTCAGACCTTACCAGCTGTCTCACACACACACACGTTGCCCCCAAACACTAGTTTACCCGCCAAATGACCTCAACAGCCAGGGCTGGACTAGGCTGGAGCCAGGAGCCGGGAACTTCATCAGGGACTCCTGGTTGGGTGGCAGGGGCTATTTTCCTAGACACAAGAGCAGATAATCTGGATCTAAAGTGGAGCAGACAGAAATCAGACTGGCACTCAGATGCGATGCTATGTATCAGACTGTGGCTGAACCCTCTGCCCCGAGGACAGCCCCTTGGGTACCTTCTAAGTAAGACTTTATTTCAAAGAATCTCTTTCCACATCAGGTAATTAGGTGATGATAGCTGATATCTTTGTGTCTTTCCCCTAGGAACTATAGATTTAGCTTACTGTGACATTCTCTACAGAGACTTGAAGAAAGGTCTCGAAGGTCTCGTGCTGGAAAGCTTTCTTCATCTCATCTACCTAACAACTCCCTATGATCTGGTTCCCCAGTGTGACCCGGACTGGATGGTGTACTTCAGGCAGGTAAGCGCAAACACCTGTCCTTCGAGGTTACTTAGGTAATTAATGGTGGTATAATTCTTGCCAAATGATTATTCACTCTTTTTCTCTACTGAAAAATACTTGGGATTGGGCATTTGTCTTAGTGGGTTTTTGAAAAATTGCTTATTTATATAAAAGGAACAGATTTTATGTGTTTCATATATGTAGTTTTCGGAGATGACAGTCCTTCCCATTTTCCCTTTTACTCGTCCTCATCCTTCTTTTTACTTTATGGGATAACGTACTTTCAATTTACCTTATAATCACAATGTTAATCATTTACTAAATAAAAAACCCAGAACAATAGAAAATAGAGCACCCTTCCTCAGGAGTATAGACAGGGCTATAAAATCTCAAGATGTTAATTTCATTAAAATATTTTTTTAAAGATTTATTTTTATTATTTTTTTAATTGGAAAGGCGGATATACAGAGAGGAGAAACAGAGAGGAAGATCTTCCATCCGATGATTCACTCCCCAAGTGAGCGCAACGGCCGATGCTATGCCGATCCTAAGCCAGGAACCTCTTCCAGGTCTCCCACGCGGGTGCAGGGTCCCAAAGCTTTGGGTCGTCCTCGACTGCTTTCCCAGGCCACAGGCAGGGAGCTGGAAGGGAAGCGGGGTTGCCAGGATTAGAACCGGCGCCCATATGGGATCCCGGGCGTACAAGGCGAGGACCTTAACCACTGTGCCTCCGCGCCGGGCCCTCATTAAAATATTTTACGTTTTTCTTTAACTCTTCATATCATCTACCACATATCAAGGAAAATATATGATATGTGTTTTTTGGGGATTGGCTTGTTTCATTAAGCATAGTAGTCACCAATTGCAAATGAAATTTGTTGAACATGCAAGATTCCATATTTTAATTATAAGTAGCATTCCACAGGTTGTGGGTGTGTTTGTGTGTGTATCCAGTCACTAACAAAAATATTTTAGGTTTGTTTAAATGTTCATTTTCTGTTAAATGTAAACATATTACCACAAAAATGAAGAAAGGTGAAAGAAAAGAAAGGATTTGTCTGTGGTCCCATTTCCCCACAGTTGCTATTATGATTTAGTGACCACTATGTTCTGTAATGCCCAGAGTGTGAAACGAAAGCCATCGCTGTTGGTTGGGAGTTTAATGATACGAGACCTCTACCGGAGCCGACCTTGGTGAGACACCAGGCCCAGTGTGTTAATGCGTAAAGATGAATGTTGATTTTATGGCCAGGCTAGCTGTATGAATACATATTAAGCAGAAATAGCATACAACTTTTAAAAGTTTATTTAAGAGGCAGAGAGAGAAGGGTAGGGATTTATTCCCTAACTGTCCACAAAAGCCAGGGCTGGCCAGGCCAGTGCCATGAACCAGGAATGCAAACCAAATGCGTCCTACATGGATGGCGGGAACTCAGTAACATGAACCATCACCACTGCCTCCCAGGGGCTGCCTTCCTGCAAACAGGAAGCTGGAATCAGGACCCAAAGCCTGCTGTCACTCTAAGCACTCCTGTGTGAGACATGTGTGTGTGTGGAGCTCTCACCTAAATGCCCACTTCCATATATATAGCTCACAGGAAATTCACTTTCTGCAACTTAAGTCATTACTGTAAATTCTTAGGGGATAGTTTACAGTACAAATTAGAAATATTTCCCTTTTCCTTCCCCCATCCACCTCCAATGTTAAACACAATCACACAGTGTTTGTGACCACCTCTTTAAAGAATTCTACCAATTATGTTATAATATTACTTTTTTAAACTTGCAGCAGTTGTAAATACATTATGTCATTCTCATTATCTTCAAAATTAAACAAGGAAATATCACACTAGATTTGGTCCAAATAAAAGTAAAGCTTATGGTCTGATTTTTTTCCGTGTATTTTCTGTGTAGTTTAACCAACTCAGTCCAGCAGAGCAAAACGTAGCTTCTCGTCTTGGAATCTCTGAGAGCTTTATTGGGAAGAAAGCATCAGGTCAAGCCATCAAAAAGGTACTTGAAAAAATATTTGTTTCTATATAGTGAACTAAGTTCATTCAACAGACAATATCATTATCTCCTTTATTGGTTTGATCGCTTTTCCATATATTGTTTTTTAAATTAATATAATTTATATTTTACAATTTGACATTTCTAAGCACCAGAAATATACAGTTTTTTTTGTTGTTGGATATCTTTTTGGTTATTGTTCATTGTCTTGAGAGAATTCTCAGTATAGTACTTATAATATGAAAAGCATTTCAGAAGGCTGAAGTGGGTTAGCTAATAGTCTTTTTTATGGTATCTTGAGGCTTTCACATTCAGTCAGTGGGCGTGAAACAAGTGTCTAAGGCATGTGCTTACTTTGAAAGAAGTGAAAATAACTTCATTATTGATAACCAAACCATCAGATACTCCAAGTTAATTTTCTCTTGATATTCCAGTATTCACTGAAACGAATTATCTTACCTACCAATTCTTTTAAATTTACATATGTGGACAATACTGATTTCATTCTGAGAATTAGAAGATGAGATTTTCCTGCATTTCAATAAAAGGGTACAGCTGGCTCATGCATTGCTCTATCACAGAACTGGACATATACAGAGCTTGAGAATTTTTATAAAACTTTCAATATGTATTACTTTTCGAAGGCATTGATGGAAGATCTTTTATGCATTTGTGATAGATAAAAATAAATCAGGATGAGCCAAGAGCAGTAGCCTATTGGCTAAAGTCCTTCCATGCATGCACCAGGATGCCATAAGGGCAACGGTTTGTGTTCTGACTGCTCCACTTCCCATCCAGCTCCCTGCTTGTGGCCTGGGAAAGCAGCAGAGGATGGTCCAAAGCCTTGGGACCCTGCACTTGCATAGGAGATCAGGAAAAAGCTTTCTGACTTCTGGCTTCAGATGAGCTCAACTCTGGCCTTTGCAGCTGCTTGGGGAGTGAACCAGCAGATGGAAGATCTTTCCTTCTCTCTGTAATTCTGCCTTTCCAATCAATACAAATAAATAAATAAATCCTTAAAAATAAATAAATAAACCAGATTGCAAATCCTTTTTGAAAAAAATTATCTTAAAGCATGTACCAGGTTTTTGGTCAAAATTGTAGGATAAGCTAAATTGCTATTCAATCTGAGTATTTCTGTACGTATAGCTACGCTGAAATTCCTCTTAAGCCCTTGACATTGACAGCATTTTACCTCTTGGCTGAGAAAAATCCATTCTAAGCAAAAGTTACATTAACTCAACTTGTACTTAACAATGGAGGTGCACCAAAATTGGGAAATTAAAAAGCCATCTTTGGACAGCTCAACTATGATGCTTTCTCAGCTTAATGCCTCCCAACGTCTGCCTCCTTTCTAGTGTTTTAACTTTGGAACATTGCTCATATTTACTCTTAGTTTACAATTAAGACAGCCTTATTAGCATTTAATTAAAATTCTTTTGCCTAATTTAGAATCACAGCCACACACAATACCACAATAAATGTAGAAATGTCCCACTCACTCGCTGTATTCATCTCCTAGGTCTGCCATGACAAACCACCACAAACTGTGCAACTAAAGAACAAAAATGTTCTCAGTGTTTAAGGGGCAAGAAGGCTGAAAGCAAGGTGTCAGCTACCTTGACTCTTCTAAGAGACCCTGAAGAAGAGGCTGCCCTGTGCGCTCTGGCTCCTGGTGGTTGCCAGCACGCCTTCCCCTTCCTCAGCTTCTCCCTGCATCCCTCCAGACTCGGCCTTCATCTTCACCTTGCTTTGCTCTCTGAGTCCACATCTCTGCTCACTGCAGACTCCGGTCATGGAGTTTCAGGCCCACTGTGAGTCCAGGGTGATTTCAGCTAGAGATTTCAGCTGTAGAGCCCCTGTTCCCAAACTTGATCAAATTAGATCACTTTGACAGAGTGTAGGGATTAGGGCCTGAGCACTTTTTGTTGTTTTTTTTGCTGGTGGGGTGATGTGTGTGTGCGACAATTCAACCAGCTATATTGCCTATGGAAGGAAGATTTATTTAAATGGAGACAATTTGGCTCCTTGCTTGCTTCTTTCCTCTCTCATGTCACCCGTCTTTTCCCCTTCCTTCCTTTCTTCTTTTCATTTTTTCTTGACAGAGGTATAGAGACGAGACATACATGCTTTCCTCACTGGCTTACCTCCCAGATGCCTCAACAGCCAGGACCTGGCTGGGCCACAACTTGGAGCCCAGAACTCAGTCTGGGATCTCCCTCATGGGTGACAGCAGAAACCCAACTATGTGAGTGTATCTGCTGTCTCCCAGAGCCCACATTAGCAAGAAGCTGAAATCAGGAGTGAACTGGGAAGCAGACCCAGGCACTCAGATAAATGTATGGGCATCCGATCCGCCAAGCCTTGATGTCTGTTTCTTTTTGTAATTGGAAGAGTACTGTTTGATTTGAATTACTTAAATTAAATGTTACACATTATTTTGCCTCTGTGGAATCATCCTATGCTTGCTATCCTTTTATAGAGGTTTATTTACTGGCCCAGCATGACATCCTTGTGGCTAAAGGCCTCGCCTTGCATGAGCCAGGATTGTATATGGACGCCCGTTTATATCCCGGTTGCTCCACTTCCCTTCCAACTCCCTGCCTGTGGCCTGAGAAAGTAGTTGAGGATGGCCCTAGGCTTTGGGATCCTGCACCCACATGGTGGTCCCAGGAAAGATTGTGGCTCCTGGCTTCAGATCTGCTCAGCTCTAGCTGTTGCGGCCGCCTGGGGAGTGAACCAGCAGATGAAAGATCTTTCTGTCTCTCCTCTCTGTAAAATCTGCCTTTCCAATAAAAATAGATTAATCTTTTTAAAGTTTACTTACTTTCTCCTAATCCAATTTGACTATAACATGTATTTTTAGTAGACTCAATATGTATACAAATTTGTCTTTCTAGAAAGTGGACAAGGACGTTGTCAACCGACTCTACTTGTCTTTTGTTCTTTATGCCCTGCTCAAAGAGACCAACGTTTGGAGTGTGGCTGAAAAGTTTAACATGCCTCGAGGATACATACAGAATCTTCTTACCGGAGCTGCGTCATTCTCATCCTGTGTGTTGCATTTCTGTGAGGTAATTCCATTAAGCATAAATCACTTTTTGTGCACTGCCTTGTTTTAACTGTTACCAACTCATAAACCAGTGAACAAATCTTCATGTTAGTATTTTCTCATTGTTAGTTTGTTCTTAAGACGAAGTACTCAAAATGTATCTTATACATTTATTTGTACTTGCTTTCAAAAGTAGTATATGTGTAATTTCCAATAAAGAGGCAAAAAGTACTGAATGAATTAAAATAGAGAACAAGCAAGTAGAGGGTACTTCTGCTCTCAGATCCATCATAAAAGTAAGTTGAGGAATTTGGAATTAGCCTTTAAAAATAACCATTCTCTGCTGACATACATTCTGTGTGGATGTCTTCCTTCTGAGTGATACAGACATCAGGGGTTTGGTTAATAAGTTAATATCCAGCAGCTATTGATTTTAACCCACTGTGCTGTGTGCCCACCCCTCAGTGATGACTTAACCCACTGTGCTGTGTGTGCTGACTCCTTAGTGATGACTTAACCTGCTGTGCTGTGTGTGCTGACCCCTCAGTGATGACTTAACCCACCGTGCTGTGTGTGCTGACCCCTCAGTGATGACTTAACCTGCTGTGCTGTGTGTGCCGACCACTTAGTGATGGCTTACAAGTGCATTCTCTTGATTACCATGATAATTTTCCACATTTGGTTCCAATGTTAGGCAAGTCCTTTCGGTATCTATATCATATGTTTATTGTGTAAAGTCAACCAAGAAGACAACTATTTTTAGCATATGCAATTGTGGTGGGTTGATCTAAGACTTATTAACAGAAGCCTTCAGTATTTATTTAACTAACAAGGTTAGCTTACCAGACTTTTCTACCCATATAATTATTGATGAATTTTTAATGTAAGCTAACTTTGCTCATTTAAATATTTTCATTGAATAGTGATTGCCATATTTTTATCCCTTTTCTGTTTCTAAAACACTTTTCCCATGAATTATCTTTTCTAAATTTAAATTTTACTTCATATTGCCTGTCTTGAACCTCCATAGTCTCTATGTTGTGACATTTAATTCTATCATATCTTTTTTTTAAGATTTATTTATTTTTATTGCAAAGTCAAATGTATAGAGAGGAGGAGGAGAGACAGAGAGGAAGATCTTCTTTCTGCTGATTCACTCCCCAAGTGACTGCAACAGCTGGAGTTGTACCAATCCAAAGCCAGGAGCCAGGAACTTCCTCCAGGTCTCCCTCATTGGTGCAGGAACCCAAGACTTTGGCCTGTCCTCAACTGCTTTCCCAGGCCACAAGCAGGGAGCTGGGTGGGAAGCGGGGCCACCAGGATTAGAACTGGCACCCATATGGGATCCTGGCACGTTCAAGGTGAGGACTTTAGCCACTAGACCACAGTGCCAGGCCTAATTCTATCATGTCTTAATGAAAGAAGTAAATAATCCAAAAATACTTCACTTTGATTTAGTAATAACTGTTTTTGTAAATCTACCTACTAACGTTCTTTTCCTTAGGTGGTTTTTAAATTATATCTTATGAGTGGATGTTGTGGTATAATGAGTTAAACCACTATTTTGGATGCCTGCATCCCATCTGAAGTCCCTGGTTTGAATTCCTTCCCTGCTTTTGTTCAGCTCCCTGCTTATGCACCCTCTGGGAAGAAGTAGATGATGGCTCAAATACTTGGATCCCTGTTACGCACATGGGAGGCCCAGGTGGAATTCCTGGCTCCTGTCTTTGACCTTTCTGTTGCACGCATCTGGGAAGTGAAACAATGGATTGAAGATCTGAATTTTGATATCTCTTGCTATCATGCTGTCTTTCAAGTAAATAAAAACAAATAACCGTTAGCTTACAGTCTCTAAACACATGTTAGTCAAGAAATAAACAGCAGTTATGTGTAATAAGGAGAAGATAGCTTTTAAAATATAAAGTTTTTTTATGTTCCTTTTAACACTTTGGATGATATTCTTTCTCTTTGTTTCATTTAAGATTATGAGGGCTCGAGCCTTAGGAAATTGTTCGAGTAAAAGAATTCAGATGTAGAACCTGAAAAAACTTGCAACAACTTGTGCTGTCATTTGCTATCTTTCAATATTTGCAAGTGATTTTTTTGAAAGTTTTATAAGTGGTATGAAATAAAATGCAGTAGTATTTAGTTAAATGTTTTTAACTACAAGTAGAAGCATAGTTCATTTAAGTTTAAATAATAAGGAAAATGGGTAGTGTATGTAACGAGAAGGCTAGAAGTAAGGTATCTTTAAGGCTGATTAATTCAGTAGTCCTGCTATTTCCTTCCTTCCTTTGACTATGCCATCTTTATTATAAACCACCTTTTTCTTTCTTAGAATTCATACTTAAACTCATTTGGGAGGTGAGCTAGGGAAGGAGTACACTCCCATCCCTGAGTTCATTCTCTAGATCCCTGTGGTAGCTAGGGCTGCACTGAGCCAAAGCTGGGAGCTGAGAATTCAGTCCAGGCCTCCTGTGTGATAGGGACCCAGCAGCTTAACTGATCTCCACTGCTTTGGGCGGTCTGCCTTAGCAGGAAGTTGGCATTAAAAGCAGGGCCTGAGATTCACACCCAAGCACTCCCATGTGGGATGTTTATGATTGCTTTCTTAGTAGTCACAAAATAGCTGGATGATGCTGTTCCTTGACTTCCTTACTCTCACAATTATATTCAAAGCCTAGAATGGGGCCTTTAAAAAGTAGGCTAATAGAGCAGAAAATTTCAAACTTAAATGAAGACCAAATGATAGAGTGAACACCCAATTACTCACCCTGCTTTTGACACTGGCTCCTAGGGACCAGATCCAACTGCTGCTCTGACTCCAACATCCTGCATCAGAGCAACAGCCCGTGTCCTAGCTGCCATGCTTCCAATCCAGCTCCCTGCCGATGTGCCTGGGAAGGCCCTGCCATCCACGAGAGAGACCTGGATGAAGCTCCTGGCTTGAGGCTGAACCAGCCCTGGCCATTGCAACCTTTTGAGGAATGGCTAGTGGATGGAAGATCTCATTCGTATTTTTCTCTCTCACACACACACTTTGTCCCTTTCTTCCTCCCACCCCTATTAAAGTCATTCTTCCTGTCAAATAAATAAATCTTACAAAAAGAAAAACAGTTGGGTTATTGGTTTAAATAATGCTGTATTGGACATTTTACTGCATTTGAAGCTTTCTATATTTAGCATTTTATTCTTAGGAGTATTTTTACTAAAGTTTTTGTTGCTATTGTTATTTTCCATGATTCAGTTGTGCAGATATAAAAATCCTACTTCTCCATCTACATTTCCATACTTAATATTTTCTCTTTGGACTAAATCCTAGAGGTAGGAATTATTTTTAAGACACTTGAAAAAGAAAAATAATTCATTCTGTTTTGCTAAAAATGATTATAGCTCTTACTTTTTTTTTCAGTTTCCCATAGCTTTCCTCACCTAAAAACTAGTTCTTCAAATTTCTGAGGGTCTCTGCCATGTCTCCTAACAGTTTTGCTTCAGATCATCATCTTTCATCTCTGCATTAACCCAGATTCTTGAACTTCTGTCAAGCAACTCCCCTCCAAGTCCCTAACCACTCAAATGCAGTGGTGAGCTAAGGTACAAAAGTTAAATGCGCATGACCCTCTGTGTTCCTCAGGAACTGGAAGAGTTTTGGGTGTATAGAGCACTGCTGGTGGAGCTCACCAAGAAGCTGACATATTGTGTGAAGGCAGAGCTGATCCCGCTCATGGAAGTGACAGGCGTGCTGGAGGTAGGTAACTTTCCCATTGCCCATTGAGTTAATTTCAACTAATAGAAAAGTAAGGTGCAACTCGTGTCAGTGACAATAGGCATGTAAGAGTCTTAAGGCCTATTTGTCTTGGAGTTTTGTTCTTTGTTTTCTGTGTTTTTTTAGTTTCTTCCTTGGCCTCCCCAGAAGTCTCCTGTGAATTGGGATGTGGACCTGATGAACACTCTTAGTTGTAAAAACAACAACAACAACAACAAAACACACAAACACTACAAAAACACCTGTAAGGGTTAAGATGAGTCTCCCCAAGACCTGGGGGCCATCCCTTGTCCCTAGCTGGCATCTGTCCCCAACCCCACACTAGTGGGGAATTAGCTTCATCATTTTAATCTCAGTGTATGTTTAAGAAAGTAATGGTCATTCTGTGGCATCAAGATCATTTGCTTTCTTCTTTTTTTAGAAATAGTTGGCAGGTACTTTTATTTATGTCTGAATTTTTAATGCATTTTCATTGACATACAGTACTTTTATGTATGAGAAAGACCAGCATTGTGGCACAGTGAGTTAAACTGCTCGTGAAGCTGGCATTCCATTTTGATGTGCCAATTTGAGTCCTGTCTACTCTGCTTCCAACCCAGCTTCCTGTTGATGCATCTGGGAGGGTAGCAGGAAATGGCCCAAGTACTTGGACACCTGTCACCCACGTGGGAGATTAGAATGGAACTCCTGCTTCCTGGTTGCAGTCTGTGCCAGTCAGACTCAGCCCTGGCTGCTGCCATTTGGGGAATGAACCAATGGATGGATGATCTCTCTCTGCCTTTCCAATACACTAATCCCATTTTTTCTAAAGATTTATTTGCACCCACTGGTTCACTCCCCAAATGGCCACAATGGCCAGAGCTGAGCCGATCTGAAAGCAAGAGCCAGGAGCTTCCTCTGGGTCTCACACATGGGTGTAAGGTCTCAAGTCTTTGGGCCATCCTCTGCTGCTTTCTCAAGGCCACAAGCAGGGAGCTGAATGGGAAGTAGAGTAGCTGGAACATGAACCAGCACCCAAATGGGATCCCAGCACCTGCAAGATGAGGATTTAGCCATTGAGCCATTGCACTGGGCCCCAAATAAATGAATCTTAAAAAACAAACAACCCGACAAAAAAACAAACAAACAAAAAAGACCATAAAACTCTGGGGCCAGCATGGTAGCATAGCAGTCTACTTCAGCACCTATGGTGCTGGCATCCCATATGAGTGCTGATTCAAATTCCGGCTGCTCCACTTCTGGTCTAGCTCCCTGCTTTTGTCCTGGGAAAGCAGCAGAGGATGGCCCAAAGCCCTAGGCCTTTGCACCCACATGAGAGATCTAGGAGCATATCATGGCTCCTGGTTACAGATTGGTTCAGCTGCAGCTGTCTGGGTAGTGAACTAGTAGATGGAAGAGCTTTCCCTCTCTTTTTAATATCTGCCTTTCAAAGGAAAATAAATTAATATTTTTAAAAATTGGAGAATTTGAATTAAAAGATAAGCTTCTTTGGGATCAGCCAACTGCTGCACAGTTTGGTCATGAAGTGCTTTTGTGAAGGCCCTTTGTCTTTACTGGCTGTACTGTGGCGTTTCAGTACCTGCCGGCGGTGTGCAAGCTCAGACCAGGGCAGTGGATGTTACTGTCACCTCACTCTCGCTGCTTAGAGAAGAAAGTATCCTTGGCAATTGTCCTAGCTCTCCTTCTAACTAACCCTTAGGTTCAGCTTATTGTCCATTAGTCAATTTCTGAGTAAGAATGAGTTCTACTTGGGAAATACACACACCCCTACACAATGGTCTCCTGGATAGGTGTGGGAACATTGAAAGATACTGGGATTAAAACCTTCTGAAAGGGGCCTGGTGGTGTGGCCTAGCGGCTAAAGTCCTCGCCTTGAATGCACTAGGATCCCATATGGGCGCCGGTTCTAATCCTGGTGGCCCCACTTCCCATCCAGCTCCCTGCTTGTGGCCTGGGAAAGCCATCGAGGATGGCCCAAAGCCTTGGGACCCTGTACTCACATAGGAGACCCAGAAGAGGTTCCTGGTTCCCGGCTTTGTATTGGTGCAGCACTGGACAGAAGATCTTCCTCTCTGTCTCTCCTCCTCCCTGTATATCTGACTTTGTAATGAAAATAAAATAAATCTTAAAAAAAAAAACCTTCTGAAAGGCCCTAAGCGGCCTCTGTCTTGGCACAAACCATGCTAGTTGTCTTAAGCTGCACGCACAGCGGTCCAAGAACTCAGTTGGAACCACCCAATCTAAATTCATATTCCTCGGGCTTCTCATGTGCTCTCTCTTTCCTCCTTGTCTGACTTTATTCCTATCTCGCCCGATGCTGAATTTTTTTACTTCATTAAAACACATAGTTTTTTTCCCCCGATTAAAAATTCTTTCTAATACCTTTTAGGGCCGAGCAAAACAATTGTACAAAGCGGGCTACAAAAGCCTGATGCACTTAGCCAATGCAGATCCGGAAGTGCTAATCAGAACAATTGACCACTTATCAAGACGCCAGGCCAAGCAAATCATTTCCTCTGCAAAGGTAAGCAAGCACGTAGTTTAGTAACCTTTACAGAATTTACAGATATCAGAACAAAAACACTTCACACTGTAACAGGAAGTATGTACCCAGAATTTATGTGTAATAGCATATCTGCTATGTTTTTTTTCCTAAAGAGAAGGAAATGGGGCAGTTAAAAAACAGTCACAAGGGTCTGTTGACGTCCACAGAACCTCAGAGTCACTGGGCTCCAAATGGCGTTTTTGTGCCAATAGTAATGACTTTGATCATTTGGTTAAGAGAGTGGTATCAAGTTGCTTTACTATAAAATTATTTTTCCCTTTGTAAATAATAATGAATATTTGAAACTATTGTGTATCTCCTGTTTCTTATTAAACCTTAATACTCATTTCTACCTTCACCAGTGAGTTTTGTATAATTCAGTTCTTTCTATGATGTTTATGAAGTGGTGATTTTCTGGCCTCCTAATTCCTCCTACAATTATTCGTGGCATTTTTTCTGTAAGGAAAAACTCATCCCTGTTCATGTATTTGTTCATTTATTTATATTTTAAACTCTTGGGATCATGCTTACTGTACCCTTGGCAAAGGAGGAAGTGGTTAGCGGCTGTGGCTCTCGCTCTCCAGCGGCACTGGGAACTCCACATTGGGAGCTGGGAAACAACACAGTAACAAGCATGGAGCGTAACAAGGCGGTCAGGTCATTATATTCTGCTAATGTTTTTGTAAATTAGGAAATCTGTGAAGGTTCGGGTAAATGTTCCTCACTCAGAATCTCCTGAAGCAATAGTCAGATGTGAGCTGGGGCTCTTCAGATCTCTTCGTTCTTGGGAACTAGTTATTTAGTCATTTACTTTTTTTTTTTAATTTCTAGCATGCAACTTGTGTCCTTCTGTTCTGTTTCTTTCCTCAGGTCAGTCAATTTTTGTGTTTATTTCTGGTTTTTTGTTTGTTTTTTTTTTTTCTAAATTTTTGAATTCCCGATTCAGGCATCAGTATTCAGATTGCTTTTGGGAATTTTTCATCAGATTGTTGTTACGGCCTTCTGCCTCTAGGTCACGTTCAAAGGGGGGTTGCTGTGAGCTTGGAGAGCGCTCTCATCTCTCTCATCCCTGTGCTTTTCGTGAAGCAGTTTTGTGCAGGTGAGAACTGACACACATTTCCAGAACAAGGCTGACATTCAAAGCCATTTTTGAGAATCCCACTTCAGCAGTGTTCTGTTCTGCTGGAGTAGTAAGGTGTGCAGTCTTTAATGGAGACCTCAGGATGAATTAGTAGTTTGTTACCTTGAAGTTTTTATTTCTTGGACCCAGCACTGTGGCATAGCACGTAAAGACGCCCGCCTGTAGTGCCAGCTTCCCGCCTGCACGCTGGCTCATGTCCCAGCTGCTCCACTTCAGATCTAACTCCCTGCTTCTGGCCTGAGAAAGCAGCTAACTGTGACCCAAGTGCTTGGGCCCCTGTACCCAAGAGGGAGACCCAGAAGAAGCTCCTGGCTTCTAGCTTCAGATTGGTCTAGCTCCAGCCATTGTGGTCATTGATGGAGTGAGCCAAGAATGGAAAATCTTTATCTCTTCCTCTCTTTACCTTACTCTGCCTTTCAAATAAATCAGTAAATCTTTTTTTAAAAAGAAAAAAATATGCTTCTTTTTGTCCTGTAGGATCCTAACTTCAGTCCTTTCCCCTTCACTGTTTAGCTTAGAAAGGCCACCTCTCCCTTTGCAGGCATTCTTGTTCCCAAAAGGTCGTGCTTTCCCAAGACTGTCTCCTCAAGCAAACTTTTTCTCTCTAGGTGTGGTTTTGATTTATCTTCGACCCCATATCTGCCTCTGATTTTATCCTTGTAGATGTTTTTTTCTAGATGGTAATCTCTGCAAGTGCTTGGATTGGGTACTCAAGAAATGGTTGTGTTGGAATCAGTATGTATTTTCTAAGGATACATTGTCAGGAGCTAATTACATTTTTATAAAATTGTCTTAGTTTTATAGATTAAGAATGAATTTTTAGGTGGTCAGATCTTCAATAAAACAAATCCCTGAGAATAATAACACTCTTTTGAGGTGGGAGGGGGTGACACTAAGTGCTGTGTTCAGCTAAGATGCTTTTAACTAAGTGTGTCAACTACAGTTACTATAATTGTTGCTCTTCCATGGCGTTTTTTCAATCATGTTGTTTTAGTTTTTATGCCTAAATTCTAGTGTGTAACCATTCCGGTTCCTGATGGATCGTGGTAGAAATGTTGGCAGTTCTTTAGCCATGTGCACTTTGGTCTCAGGCCTTCATTTTCGTTATAGATGCTGCTGCATGAAAAGGCAGAGGCTTTGCAGGAAGAAGTGGACGAGTTGCTGCGACTGCCTCCCGACTTCCCTGGCCCCGTGGACACCCCCACAGAAAAGGCATGGAGCTAGCCGATGATTTTCAGTTCATATTATTTATTTCCCATATGTTTTATTAAAAATTTCTTATACTTTATAAATGAAAATATGTATGTATATATATATATTATTTATACATTAAGAACTGTGGGTGACACTTAAATATATCTCTCCCTCATAATTGAAGTATCTTTCTCAGATGATTCCTCTTATTGATGTTATGCAACAGTTTATCTGATCAAAAATCTCTGCTGTCTACCACAAAATGAAATTCGATTTTTTCCGTGTGACTCCAGCCTACCTTTGTAGCCAGATCTGTCATTATGCTCTCCCCTATTTCTTTCACCCAACTACACTATGGAAATCCCCAGAATTTTCCTTGTCATGACGCACCCTCTTTTTTCCTAAGTGCTCTTTATTCCCAGTACATAGAAATGTACCATATATTTCATGTATCAACTACTAGTGTTCAAATACTGTCTCCCCAGTGAACTGGCTGCAGGTTCAGCCTCGTCACCACCCCACACAGAGTGTCTCTTCCTTCCTACCGTTGTGGACCCCTCATTTATCCACAGGTCACTTTTTTCTGCTATTAATCCATAGTTAAGAGTAATCTAATCTTTTTTGTGTTTTTTTTAATGTTTATTTTGATAATATTTATTTATTTTTCCTGAAAATGCAGATCTATAGAGAGAAGGAAAGACAGAGAGCAAACTCTTCCATTCACTGGTTCACTCCCCAAGTGGCCACAATTGCTAGAGCTGAGTCTATCTGGAGCCAGAAGCCAGGAGCTTCCTCAGGGTCTCCCAGGCAGGTGCAGGGTGCTATGGCTTTGGGGCCGTTCTCCACTGCCTTCCCAGGCCACAAGCAGGGAGCTAGAAGGGAGGTGTAGCAGCTGGGACACAAACTGGCACCCACGTGGGATCCTGGCACATGCAAGGTGAGGACTTTAGGCACCAGGCTATCACACCAGGCCTGATCCAACCTTTTTAAATCATCTTTGCCACAAAACAACCACTGCAGTTCACTACATAAAATCAAAGCATCTGCAAAAATGAATTTTACCCAGGTCATCAATTTGAAAATTCACTTTAAACACTACTTACAATTGCCTGTTCTCCTTCCTTCTTTTAGAATTAAAGCTCACGTGTAGGTGACTCTGGTATAAGAAAAAACTGATGGCCAACAGGATTTGTGAATACTGAACTGGTTTTATTTAGGTTCTGTTATCTAAATGACAGTCACTGGCAAACAGATCCAAAGTTCAAAATGTTTAAATTATTATTTTATTTATTTAAGGTGAATGTATTTCACAATACAGGTTTAGGAACCTAGTGAGACTTCCCATTCTACCTCCCTTTTGGCTGTGTTCCTCACTCATCTGTCTTCTTCCTTATTCCTTTTTGTAAGTTTCACAATGACACACTTCCAGCTCACTTCACAGTCATAGGCTTCATGTTCCCATAGGCAAAGAATTCAAGTTTCTCAGGAAGGTAAACAAAGACTGTAAATAGTAACCAAATCTCAGAATATCAATTTTACTCATATAGATTACTTTATTCATACTCTTCATAACATGGGAACCTATATTGGTTTTAGTTGTATCAATTCAATTTTTTTTTTGCAAAAGGCAGGATTTTATTCTTTTTCATGGCTAAGTAATATTCCATAGGGTATGTATACAACATTTTCTTTATACAGTCATTCATTGATGGATATCTGGGTTGATTCCATATTTTAGCTATTATGACTTGAGCTACAATAAGCACGGGAACACAGATTACTCTCTCATATGCTGTCTTCACTTTGTTTGGGCAAATTCCCGGGAATGGTTTGACTGGATCAGGTGATAGGTCTATTTTCAGATTTCTCAGCAATCTCCATGCTGTCTTCCATTATGTTTGCACTACTTTCCATTTCCAACAATAGTGGACAAAGGAACCTTTTTCTCCACGTCCTTACCAACATTTCTTGTTTTCTGATTTCTGCATGACAGCCATTCTAACTGGGGGAAGGTGAAAGTCGTAGTGTATTTTATTTGCATTTCCTCGATGACTAGGGAACCTGAGCATGCTTTCATAAGTCTGCTGGCCATTTGAATTTCAGGCTTTGGAAAAAACGCCTGTTCACTGACTTGAAAAGATTTTTTAAAATGTGTGCTCTGTCACTGTGGGATAAAATGTTCTATAAGTATCAATTAAGTTCATAGCAGAGATTAGCACTGTTTTTTTCTTCTAGTTTATCTGTCAATTGATGAAAGTAGTTATTGAAGTCTCGAATTATTATTGTATTAGAGTTGATATTTCCCTGTAGAACTATGAACGTTCGTTTTAAATAGCCAGGCACCAGAGGATTGTGTGCATATACATTTACTATAGTCACATCTTGTTGAATTGATCCTTTAATCATTATATGATGCCCTTCTTCCAACAGTTTTTATGTTAAAGTCTATTTTGTCCGGTAGTAGGATGACTACTCCTATTCTTTTTTGCTTTCTGTGAACATGGAATATCTTTCCATCCTTTTCCTTATCGATGAGGTATGCTTTCTTACAAGCAGCAAATAGAAGGGTCCTACTTTTTAATCCATTCTCTCAGTCTGTGTCTTTTTTATAAATTCTACATTCAAGGTTATTATTGATGCATAATTGCTTGGTCCTGCCATTTTCCCATAAATATCCCTGTTGTTTGCTTTGGATTCCTTTTGTTCCTAGGAGATCCTCTGCCTTCCTGCCGCATGGCAGTGGTGGTCGTAGCCAGGGTCCCAAGCATGGAGTCCAACCTGACCTGGATGCTCCCAGCAGCCACCAGGCTGCTGGAAATTCTCTACCCAGACCCCAAGGTCACACTCCTGTGGTCACTTCTGTGGTCCCTCCTGCCGCACATTGTTGGCAGCGGGTGGAGCCTAGACCCCTTATTCCCATGATATCCACTCCCGGTGTATCCACCAGGAAGGGAGAAGCCTCTTGAGCCCAGGTAGGCCCAGGGTCAGCTCACCACGTGGCTGCGGTGGCTGTAGTCAGGGCCCCAAGGGCTTGGTTTTCTAAAACAAAATTATTTTGAGAGTTTTCAATCATAGAAAATAAAACAGAAGAAACATCCATTGCTTTATGTCTCAACAGTGAGCAAAAAACTCATGATGTCAACATTGGTGAGTGAGGAAATCTCCAAAAAGTGGGACAATTACATACAGATCATTAAAGGGTGAAGTTCAGCTTCTGGGCCTGGCACAATGACCTGATGGCTAAATTCTCGCCTTGCACATGCCAGGGTGCGATATGGCTACTGGTTTGTACCCCAGCTGCTCCACTTCTTTTCCAGCTCCCTGCTTGTGGCCCGGGAAAGCAGTCGAGGATGGCCCCAAAAGCCTTGGGACCCTACACCTGCATGGAAGAACTGGAAGAAGCTCCTGGCTTCTTAGTTAGTCAGCTTAGTTCCTGCCATTAAGGCCACTTGGGGAGTGAGTCAGTAGACAAAAGATCTTTCTCTGTCACTCCTTCTCTGTCTAAATCCGCCTTTCCAATAAAAATAAATATTTTTAAAAAGAGAAGTTCTTCTTCTCCATCTAAAAATCAATGAAAGAAAGCTATCAACTCTGGTGACTTGGTTTTGGGAATATGACATTTGAGAACAACAGTCACTTTGTTTTCCAGTTCTTCATCAGTCCTTGACAAGAGTTGTAGGCCACCGTGCTCTTACTTTGTGAATGGCGGTAGTCAGTGAACAAAGGCACACTGCCTCAGCATCAGAGATGATGGTCATCTCGATTCTTTCCATTTTTACCAACATCCCAATCTCTGCATGAAGCGGTAGATCAGATGAATCTGAACTGGGAATGTAAGACCATGGGAGCACATTGTTTTTCAAAAGTAAAACCACCATCCTGGGCTCTCTCAAAAGGAGACACGTTGAACTACTCATTGTTAGAGAAGATAGTTTACTCTGGTCTCTCGTCACTAATTTCCTCAATAGAAATTGATTTCAGTACAGAAAATATTGGGCCCTTTCGTTTTATGCTATATAAAAACTCAACTTTTTTTCTTTAAGGAGAAAACATTAAAATGTTTGCAGAGTATGTAATTATGACAGAATGTAAATACAAGTCACAAAAACAGTTAACATGTTGCTTCTGTTGCAGCTGTATTCCAGGGATCAGTACATTGCTTAGCATGCCTTGGGAATTGATTCAATATTGGGGAATGGGACTAAGATCAAAAGAAAGTCAAAACTGTAGCTACAGTTCTGTTACAAACAATAACATGGGCAAAAGAAAAATAGGGCCTTTTTGGTGATTTAAGATTTGATCATGAAGAATGACAGTCAGTGGCAATTCCAAGGGTTTTAGACAGTGGAACAGAAGAGTTGCCGTCTATTATGATATGGAAGAGTATGAGGGGAACAGAATTGGGAGAGAATGTTGAACATTTGGTTTTGGAAATGGCACACTGTGAAAGAAACTATTTTGTCCATTTGGTCTTTCATTTAAAATCAAAGATAAGAAGTATTAAGTAAATCAAGTGGCCTTGTTAGTAAATGGCTGAGAGAAATTCAGACTGGCGTGTGGGGAATCGGTACTCATCCACTACCAAGTTAGGGTTACTCATGCTGTTTCTTTTTACCCTATCTCTGCGCTGGGATATTTCCAAGTGCCTTCTCTGTGAATTACTGTTAATAACTCCCCATTTCTGGAATGTTGCTGTTTTATATGGTCTGATGACTAAGCAAATAATTCTTAATGTGATATCTGTATGGCAGAAAATTGCAAATAGCAGTGTTTCCTGAGTTTCAAATATGTACGTGGCCCCTGAATAGACCCCACACTCCCAGGTCTCTTGTAGCTAGGAGTGGTTCTGTTGCTGAGTTATGACAGAGCCATGTTAGTGCAGGTACTATGCACAACTTCCAGCTCTTGAACACAGAAGAGAGCTTCTTGCCCTCCACATCCTCTTTCCCACTTTCTTAGGGCTGGAGCAGAAATGTGTTACAGCCTCTGAGAAGGTAGGATCACAGAGCAGAAAGACTGGGTCTCTAGAGGATCTTTCAGGGCAAGGCTGGCCTCTTTTGGACCACCTAATAACTTAGATTCAATGAGAGAAATCTGCTCTTTTCATTTGTTAAAGCTAGTGTTAAAAGCAGTTGGTTCACCATATCAGTTCCATCTATTATGAATTAATCAGAATGTATTGCAACTTCCCACGAAACCAAATGCAACAGTGGCTAAATAATTGGGCTTGAGAATCAGATACTTGGTCCACTCCTGGCTGAGCCATTCACTCACTTATGCCTTGAACTAATTGCGTCATCTCACGGATTTTATGTTAAAATAGAGATAATAAGATCTTTCACATCTTTAATATGATTAGCTAGTAAGTGCAGAGCATTTATTGCACTGCCTGGGATAAAATATGAGCTTAATAAATCCCAGCCATATTGATGATATATTTGAAAAGATGAGGACGCACTCATGTTGAAAGCAAACAGTGATACGTGTGATGTTTGATGTAAGGGGAGGGGGCTGCTCAAGGATGCCCATTCGAGGCTTTCCCTTCACCCTGTCCTGCTGGACAGCAAAGGCCTGCTGTCAGCCAGAACCTGTGCTGGCTGGATCTCAGGGTAGAATTAATTTATCGC